TTGATTTGTCAAATGCGCGCGCGCGTCAAGCTGAAGAATGTGGCGTTATGGCGTTTAACGCCGGGTTAGTCTATAGGGCCAAAGCTCATTTTAGACTATATAATTAAGCGTTCTAGAGCCGAGTCGGGTCGACCCAATGTAATTTTGGGTTCAGCCCACGAAAAGAGCGACTTCTCAGAAACAAGGTGTCGCTCCGCTGAGTGTCGATCTTTCGCCTGATAGCATGCCGTGTGGCTCCTGTTTCAGACGTCGAACTTTTGCCGCACTTAATTCAAAAGTTGGTTCAGTGCGATCTGGAACACCTGTTTGAAACGGGGGTTAGGTATGATAAATAGTGAGTAAATCGGAGCATTGTGCTTTCTCCCGTAAACATGCACGCAGAGCGGGCACGCCGGGATGTCTGTAGCCGAAGTACAAAAGTAAACTTGTACTGGTCCAGTAAATAAAGATGGCGGCCTCCATACGTCGCGACCAAGTTTCGTTTTTCTTCGTGAATCTGGAGGCGTATTCGGTGTTTCTCTCACACAGTGGCAGGTCTTAGAGTCTTTAAAATATGATAAGACCACTTTTAAATCTTTTAATAGAGGATATGTTCAAGTTGTTCACGCTTTTATTGAAGCTAGTTGTATGTGTTGACGCTAAATAGCATGACTGGTACATATAAATTGGCACAGCGCCACCATGTGAGCCCTAATATAGTGCTCATAGTACCCAATTCACAAAAATATACCATTTACGCGGTCAGGTAGCTACGAGGCTCTACATATGCCATCCAACTTGTTGAGATCCTGATTTTTTTCTCGGGATCGAGACATAATACTGTCGTGTGCCCGCCGTCCGGCAATGATTTAAATGAAAACACGGTAAAAGTTGGATCACGACATCCTGTGATAATTTATTACGTGAAGATGACATGCAACAAGTGTTTTTATTTCACTGTTTCCACTGTAAATTGCGGAGGCATGAGCACCAGCACTGCATGTGTGCTTATATTTCTTCCATCACGTGCCCATTGACAAGTAATGTCATTTTTCCACTTTCACGATATCGTCAACCCATGGTAAATAATCTCAGGGTTTTGTTATCCAACTTTTGCGATGTCACCATCCAGTGATTAATTATTTCAGGATGTCGACATCTATTAGCTGTGTGATGTCATTCCGAGAAAAAAAGTCAGGATCTCAAACAGTTAAAAGGCACTTTTAGAGTTCCGTAGAGCAAGCGATCATAAGTTGGTCAGATTCTAGAATGGGTCATACAAACAAAATGGCAGCTTCAACGAGTGCAGNGTGATTTGCCAAATGTACGCGCACGTCAAGCTGAAGAATGTGGCGTTATGGCGTTTAACGGCGGGTTAGTAAGGCCAAAGCTCATTTTAGACTATATAATTAAGCGTTCAAGAGTCGAGTCGGGTCGACCCAATGTATTTTTGGGTTCAGCCCATGAAAAGAGCGACTTCTCAGTGAAACAAGGTGTCGCTCCGCTGAGTGTCGATCTTTCGCCTGATAGCATGCCGTGTGGCTCCTGTTTCAGACGTCGAACTTTTGCCGCGCTTAATTCAAAAGTTGGTTCAGTGAGATCTGGAACACCTGTCTGAAACGGGGGTTAGGTATGAAGAATAGTGAGTAAATCAGAGCATTGGGCTTTCTCCCGTAAACATGCACGCAGAGTCACGGTGGGCACGCCGGGATGTACTGTAGCCGAAGTACAAAAGTATACGTATAAACTTGTACTGGTCCAGTAAAGAAAGATGGCGGCCTCCATACGTCGCGACCAAGTTTCGTTTTTCTTCGTGAATCTGGAGGCGTATTCGGTGTTTCTCTCACACAGTGGCATGTCTTAGAGTCTTTAAAATTTGATAAGACCACATTTAAGTCTTTTAATAGAGGATATGTTCAAGTTGTTCACGCTTTTGTTGAAGCTAGTTGTATGTGCTGACGCGAAATAGCGTGACTGGTACATATAAATTGGCACAGCGCCACCATGTGAGCCCTAATATAGTGCTCATAGTACCCAATTCAGAAAAATACCATTTACGCGGGCAGGTAGCTACGAGGTTCTACATATGCCATCCAACTTGTTGAGATCCTGATTTTTTTTCTCGGGATCGAGACATAATACCGTCGTGAGCCCGCCGCCCGGTAACGATTTAAATGAAAACACGGTAAAAGTTGGATCGCAACATCCTGTGATAATTTATTGGGTGAATATTACATGCAACAAGTGTTTTTATTTCATTGTTTCCACTGTAAATTGCGGAGACATGAGCACCAGCACTGCATGTGTGCTTAGTATATTTCTTCCATCACGTGCCCATTGACAAGTAATGTCATTTTTCCACTTTCACGATATAGTCAACCCATGGTAAATAATCTCAGGGTTTTGTTATCCAACTTTTGCGATGTCACCATCCGGTGATTAATTATCTCAGGATGTCGACATCTATTAGCTGTGTGATGTCATCCCGAGAAAAAAAGTCAGGATCTCAAACAGTTAAAAGGCACTTTTAGAGTTCCGTAGAGCAAGCGATCATAAGTTGGTCAGATTCTAGAATGGGTCATACAAACAAAATGGCAGCTTCAACGAGTGCACGTGGACTCACAGTTCTTGGGGTACACATGGCGCACTTCTAACTTTCCTCTCGCAGCTTTTGCTAAGGCTTTTCATTGAAAAACTCTTCTGGTTAAGTACTGGTACTTATTATGATCTTATCCCTCATAACAGGGTTAGCCTTCATAGTATTGAACATTTGTGGACAATTTCAGTGTTCTGAAATTTCGTCTGAAATCCAAAAATATCAGCGTCTGGAAATTGGGCTCGAGTTCAGCTGAGTGTTCTCTAGTCTAATGTAGAGCACTTGAAAAATCTCAGAAAATGCCACATACCTACATAGCCTAAACATTTCCAAAACTCTTTAAAGTTAATAAATTCTTTTAAAGCATCATTCCTTCTACTCACCTAGACCTAGGGGGCCTACCTAAAGTATCTACAAGCTTGTCAGAAACTTATTTTCATAATTGTAAGCTTATTGTAATAGCATTCATTTCGCGTGTCAGGAAAAATTCTAAAAATCCGTTGCAAATAAAATTTCGTAAGAACTTTTTAGCTGATACACAAAATTGAGATTTATGAATCAGGATAATAGGAGTTTGATGAAGTTTTACCGACTGAAATTTGAGGTAAAAATATTCCTCCAGTAAGACACTACATGTACATGCGAAAAATGAAAGTGCGCCATGTTAGGGGCCGTGTCATATAATAGGGTACATGAACTATAACATAATTGGATTCTACAAATTCTCGCAGTTGGCGTGACGTCATTATGGACGTTTAACACACAGCAAAGGGGCAAATTTACCCTTCGTGTTATTCAGTAATGTACAGAAGTTCCCGGATGTCCAACCATGAGAATCGCCTTCATTAACATTAGACCTTTTTATTGGACATCGTCAGGTGATAGTAGAGTCCAAGTATCTCCCATAGGCTTTCCATCCCCTTAATTCATTTCACCACAATAGCTTGTACCCCAAATCCTCCAAAATCACCTCCAAAACAGTCCTTAATTAAACTGTGTAATGTGCGCGGCTTAGGATCAAATGAGAATCGGAGCTTCCAATACTGATAAGGTTTACTCACATTTGGGAAGAAAAGAAAAATTTCCCCTTCAAATTGAAAGCATGCCCATATGTTTTACAGTGTCAAAACCCCGCTAATTTCAATGTCAATTAGTATTTCATTTTTTTTTCTTTGATAGGTGGGTGTGCTGTGAGGATAAGCATCTCCCCAATTATTGTGGAATGCGTAAGTTGTCAACAACTTTTCTGCTCAACACTGAACCCAAATCCATGGCGCTGCTTACCGCAAGCGAAAAATCGGCGCTTACTGTAGCAGAAAATTCTGTGTTTACCACGAACGTATTTCATGGGTTAGCGAGGAATTTGGCCTGTGCGCATGCGTACATCCCGCAACTAACGTGACTAAGGATTCTGTGCTTAAAGGGTTAGCGCAGAATTTTTCTGCTTGCGCGGTTAACGAAGAATGGAGATCGTAAGTGTGGAATTTTGCAGTAAGCAGTGCCGCCATGAAATTGGGCCCAGGTAAGGTTCCGTTACTGTTCCCAATATACTTCTCACTCTTCATATCTGTTTCTTTATGCAAGGAAGTGTGGAATGAAATATTTGTATTTGCTTTCTTGATTTGTAGCTTTTTGCAAACGCCTTTGTCCGACAAACAACGGAGTATGCAACTTGGAGGATAATGGGTGTGAAGGTCGTTTGGGGATCATGGAGAATTCAGGCAGTGGTAGGTTTTCTGTTTTAATTTGTATACTGGTATCCAAGAAATGTTGGCTTGCGTAATATCACAAGCCTGATGGCACCCTGCGTGGCCTGTCCTGAATTCTTATCAGGGAATTCATTGGAAGTTTCAGTGCAGATTTAGAGAATTTATTCTCCAATGATACCTGAAATCACAAGCCTCAATCAATCAAGCCTAGCTACCCAATGTATTATTTGTTCCCTCCCCCAACACACATGCACACACCGGGTCACACCCTATATTATGGGCTTCTTTTGTGTTGGCACGGCTGCACACTTACAAATGTAGTTTCTTGCCAAATAAAAATTATAAGCTTACATGTTGTTTCTATTACTCATAATAATTTATATTTTATTTATTATATTTACTTCTAAAGTGTGCAATAAACTTGGCAAAGCTTTCCTCAAAATATTGGGAAAAATGGTTAGAAATAGCACTCTGACGTATGTAGAAGGCATAATTTTCTGAGGCCTTTTTATTGTTAAATTGCTTGTTGAATAGACCGATTTGCCGACACCACTGCTGTGGTGTCCCCACCACTCAGACGCACGCATTCCTAAGCTTGACGAGCGCTTGATTTTGGTTAGCAGTTCGCTCCCATTGGCTGATGAGAAAGTGCCTCTCAATGTGCCTCTCTTTTGTTCACGCGCGTGGGGACACCACAGTAATGACTTCCGATTCTTGTCACCATATCGGTCTATACGTAGATCTTGAACAGAAGTACCCCCTCATTGGTTGAAAAGAGCCATGTTGGACTGGAGGGTTCATTTTTTGGGATTGATACGACTGTTACACATTCCTTTAATGGTCATTGGTGAACAAGCAAAGTGTGGTTTGGACCAAAGGAGCCTCATGCTAGGAAAATTGCGCCCTCTCATGATCTAACTCGGGGCTCATAACATAATGTCATGTTTTGTATACATACATACATGTATGCACTGTCCTGTTGCAGTGAGGTGAGACGCAATGTAAAGTGCACATGTAAATAAAGCTTATCATTATATTTAAGTCTATCCGCTCCGAGCGGAACGAATGATGGCGTATTTGAGGCGTGCAAGTACATGTGTGCGCATTTGACCTGGAGCATGCTGAATACCACCTGTTACCACCTGTCTTTCTTTAGCCGATTGAGGGTGCACTTCAGCTCGGGGTGGATCACTTACTAGTTGTATGGTTGAACTCAGTTCAGCTAAATCCCGAAAAGTTTCCTTTCTTGTTTTACATTTTAAACAGAAGTGTGTTATAAGATACATATTGCAAGAGTTAGTTTACTCATGTGCATCAATGCCCCCTCAGGCCTGTGAGTGACTAGTAGATGGGCCTACATATTTCCCCGTGGCCTTTCAGCCTTGGAAAACAAGATCCTCTTCTAGTCGCTCACAATCCCTTGGAATGCATAGGCATGCACTAGTGACCTATTTGCCAGTCCATACATGTATGTGTATAATTGCTATTTCAGCCAAAGTTTGAAGCTCAAATATTTACTACTTACACTCCACCTTAAAGATTGGCATTTTATATCTGAATTAACCCATATACAAGTGCATAAGTGTAGCACCAAGTACATGTATCTTAAAATGACAGTGCCCAACACAGGTTTTGAGTTTTCAAATTTTAGAACATTGTTTTCATGGTTTTGTAGTACAGATGAAAATGAAGAAAATGGCATCAGGCCTGAAGCTTCACCATTGATATTTGGCACAGGGGCACATGTCGATGATTGTGAAGTTGGTATTCTACCCGTGCAAACTGTTGTGCGTAAATTTCAGAGTTGCTAACACAATAAAAATCAACATTCAAACCAGGAGCGATGGGTTGTGCCTCATTCTTTTCCACTTGCAGACCATGTAAACAAGAGAAGTAACATGCATCATTATCTTGAACCATCTCTTGAGCCTTTTGCTGACGGGATTCCAGATGGTAGGTTGACTTAAAGTTGGCCCCTTAATATTTTTTTGCTTGAGAACTAGAATCTCTCTGTCACTAAAGGGTTACAAAGGTTTTATGCATTTGACATAAATCAGTATAATAATATCAAGCACAAGTTTTTTTTGTTACCCGACGTATATTGATAAACACTGTATACTCAGTTTTCGTTTGAGAGCTTGCCAAAAAATTCACAAGCTTACTCTGGTTGGACTCGAACCCACTCGAAACTAACATCCCTGCAAAGTACATCTTGAAAAAGCTGTCTTCCCTTTTTCCCCCTAAACCAGCACATTCCCACCCCACTGCTGAGGATTGTGTCCACTAAAAAACTCTCCAAGGAATGTTTACAATATACATTTGCTTAGAATATTACAGACTTTTTAAAATTTACACTCAATCACTCAATATTGCAATTTATAAGTAATAACAGTCAGATTTGCACCTCTAAAAATATTGAAGCAATCACCAAAAAATAGGCCAGAGTTTCACAAAACACAATGTTTCTTTCAGAGCATGCTGTATAGATTTTGATTGTTCACTTTACATGGTCCTTATAAAGTGGACTTTCTGAAGATCTTAAACAGTGGACTGCAGAAAATGGATCTAAAACTATCCATTGCTTTGAGAGCTTCCCACCTCCACCTAGTCTAATTCCAATGATCATGTACAATGTTAGAACTTGAAAAAGTCATGAAGTGCTGAAGCAATGGGCGTTCTCCTCTCCAAAATCATATAGTTTTGCTATGATCTTTAAGGGCTCCATCAATTGCTAGGATGTTTGGCTCAGAGCCAGACTTCAGGTCCAGGGAAAATTAGTCCAATTAGGTCAGCTAAATACAGACTTCAAAATATGAAGTGTATATAAACTTTTATCAAGTATTGTTTACATTCAAATGTTCATATAAGATGGTGTAAATCACACTCTGACAAGTGTGTCTTCATTCTTTCATCTTGAACCCTATTGGTCGATTTATACATTATCCGTCATGAGTCAACGAGCGTGGTGATAAGAACTCATTGTCAATAATTTGACCATAGTTACACAACTCATTTTTAACTAATAAAATATGCGAAGCAAGTAAGTTAAAACAAAGTGGAACAGTAACATCTCCTTTTGGCTAAATTTTATTATAATATTTTACCACATCGTTTACCGAGTACATTTTTACCATTCATTCTGTGCGTAAATGTTATCTCTAGAGCAAGGTGAGTTACACGGTAACCCATGTTATTGAACTTTTGCTCTAGGAGTGTGCACGTTCAGTGGTGGCTCCATCAGGACATTTGATGGCCTTACATACAACTACCCTCTCAGGTGTCGAAGCATTATGGCGTTCTTCAAAGCCGAAAATCAGTTCACTGTGGACATTGTTCCCAAGTATGAGTGCAACGATATCAACCATGAGTGCAAAAGCGCCGTAAACATCACGTAAGCAATACAGGATATCCACAGGATATCAATCTTACAAGAGGTGGTCAGGAGTGATCAATAAAAAACTTAAAATTCAAGCCTAATGCTTCTAGGAGAGAAGCACTAAAAAGTATATGGTTCAGCGATACATGAAACAACAAAAGAAATTCATTGTTTCTACTTTTAGCTGATGTTAAATGGTAGACTGTGCTCTCAGTCATTTGACCTCATGAGTATTAGTACAATACTTTCAGCCAATCATGTATCCTGATGCACTTGCTGTGATCTTGTTCACCAATGGGTATGTACGGGTACCCATACATTATATTTCATAATTAGGTTCTTTTTTTCTTTTTCTTTCTCTTTTTGTTACAAACATTTATATTTTACAAGGATTTATATTGATAAATCCTATTGCAAGGAATGGTTGCAAGACACTTCCGGCTCAGTGGTCTGTCAAACCAATTTAATTTGTCTTCGATCTTTCTTCAAGATCTTTGATCTTATCTATGGTCACTTTCCAGGAACAATGTCATGATGGTGGAGTTCCTTCCTGGGAGTGTGGTTCATTACAATAACAGAGTTGTTATTCCACCGTATGGAAATGATGGCGTAATGATCTTCAAGAGAGGAACAGAAGTGGTCTTTGAAGCAGGAGACGGTAAGGAGAAAAAAGACTTTAGAAAACATTCTAAAGTCAAAAGTATAGTTTGGTTCGCTCGGGCATTTGTTTCTGAGAGGAATAATGAGCTATTGGAAAATGAATGCTAGCACATGGCATGATACAGCCAAAATATGTCATTTTTCTCTGTTACGCTAAATTTCCAAGCAATATTGAAATATCAGCAAATGAATGCAAGAGTTGTGATCAACTGTGCTTCATATGTTATCGGTTGTAAGTGTTGTCAGTGCTTGATATTCTAACATTAAAATCTCATGCAGAAACCCGGGTGCTCTTTGATGGGAGCAACAGCGTATCCATCGCCGTAAATCGAATCTACCAAGCTGCTGATGAGGTGCATAGCCTTAAAGGCCTCTGTGGTAACTACGACAGTGACCCCAGAAATGACCTTGAAGACCTGTCCGTGGCCGACGTGGCTGCCAAGTACAGGTTCCCGGAGGGCCATTGCAAGCCGCAGGATGCCAAGTACCTGAATCCATTCGAAAACCTCAGCGACCTGCAGCAACAGGAGGTTCTCCAAGCCTGCAACGATTTCGCAGTTGACCCGATCTTCAAAGACTGCAGGGACAAGCTGGTGATAGAACCATTCTACTCCTCATGCTGGTTTTCACTGTCGCTTTGCATACTGGAAGGCTCGCGTTGTGACATTTGCAACATCTATGCCAAGTTATCGAAGGCATGTGCAAGACACGGTATAGCAGTTGAATGGAGGTCTGAGTCTTTCTGCCGTAAGTTATCCTGAAAACTTTGTCACCCTATAGAGGGGGCGAAATCCCCCCCTCCCCCAGCCCACTTTTTTCGTTGATATCGTCTCAATTTTTTCCCTGTGAAAGCCTTTTGTTCATTTTGAAACCATTTTTATGAAAGTCAGATATACCATTCCGGCAAAACCCTCATTTTTCCATGACAGGCCAGCTATAAAGTGTTCACCTTGCCCATTAATGTGCTATTAAAGTGCGCACAGGCTGACGGGCATGAACCCTGAACTATGTAAAATGACCAAGGCAACAGAACTCTTTGTCGGGCTGAATTGAAATTGGATACTCATAACAAATGTCTGTTAAAAAGGCAGCCAAAATGCTGGGGGGGGGGCAGAATGCGCCCAACCCTAGTTGAGATGTTCAGAAAAATACCCGTTTTCTGAGGATTTATATTTCAATGATTTATATTCTGTTTAGTTCGTTTTGGTGTGGCCAACGTAATATACGCTTTCGTAGGGATTATCTTTCCGATATTTACATTTCTGTATCAATTTGCTTTAAATTTGTTTTTAACCACAGACATTGAATGTGAAAATGGCATGAAGTATGTTGAGTGTGGTTCAGCATGCCCCCGCACCTGCGAAACTCTGTTTTATTCTGATGACTGTCCTGAGCCGTGTGTTCCTGGATGTCAGTGTCCTGAAGGTATGTTTGCTGTGAATGGCTCTGTGGAATGCCAGCAGAATTCGTACAGTTTGACAGGTGTGCTTATAAAGGCTTGCAAAAGCTTGTACCGTACTCTTCTGCATCAAAGTATCATGTGACTGCTGGTTAACCGTTCATCATAATGGTGCATACAGTCACCATGATACATATATGTGCGTAATAACCCGTCTGTTTCACTGAGTGGGTGCCTTTTACACAACCCATTGACACAAATATCAATAACGTAGTAACCACAGTGGTTAAAAATGTGTCTGTTGAACGTCTGTCTTGAATACTGTATTTTTGATTGGCCCAGAAGGCTCACTTGACCAGGCAATGAAAATGCACATTACCCTAATGCTTGTGCATATGATAGACTTGTCTCCGCCCCACAGTCCAACCCATGATTCAGGAACTGCTAACCAGACTAGTTGAGTTCAATGGTACCTGTGCTATTTCCATGTATACAGAGATACACAGTTGTTAAATGATAAACTCCAGTGGGAACAGTGAACTGGCATATGACACAATCATTCGTAGAAGGGTTGTAATGTTTTGTCAATTTCTTCAAGTCAATATATCAAATGTATAATTTTTTTGGCCCTACACAGGCACATTCCTGTTTGAGTCCCAGTGCATTCCGAAGCAAAGTTGCCCTTGCCGCCAGGCAGATGAAGACTTCCCAGCTGGTGCCATTATTAAAGATGGATGCAGGGACTGGTGAATAATACTGCTCTTTCTATCCCCTTTTAAACATGTTCGCTGCTGCGCATGATTAAACAAATGCTTGTTTTTACTTAATGTGTGCAAAACCAAAAACTGTCTGTTTTCATTATCCAAATGTCTTGTTACAAATGACATTGTGATGGAAACAAAATTAAAATTAGACTTACTTTTAGGTCATTCTATAAATTTTGGGTCCAAAAGTTTGACATTTTTGTGTCTCTGTTACATCTGATCTTTGTTTTTTGACATGAAAATTCACCAAAATTGATTTCAAACTATTACTATTTGTTTGGCAGGTAATTTGCATCAATTCATCACTCTTGGAAATTAGAAAATGTGTTCTGAACTTACAAAATCATATGTCAGATATGACAGGGACGCCAAAACAATGGGACCCCTTATTTATAGAATGACCCTTTGGCAAACATCATACTTGTTGCTCATTTCATCAATAAAGGATGTTAGAAAGACTGTGCAAATTTAATTTGACCATCACAGACTTGAGAGAAATGACTCAGGACTTGACATGGGAAAAATTGTCTCGTGACTGGACTTGCAAAAAAAAGACTTGTAGCTTGACTTGACTTGTCTTGTAGAAAAGTGGCTTGTGATTTGACCAGGGGTGGATGCAGAACCAGTTTTTTATTAGGGAGGCAAAAGCTTTGGAATTTTGCCTTTTAGAGGGTTGAGGGTACAGTTAGGGCGTTTTTCATGCTTTTTAAAAGAAGAGAAAAAAAACAGACCGAACACCTGCCGTGCATTATTTTTGAAAGCATTTTCTTGCTTGAGGGTGGACATAGCGCTCTTGCCTCTCCCCTGACTTGACTTGTAGACGTAACCTTCTTGTTTGCAACAATTGGAGATTCCAAGATGGGACGATGATTTGTAAATTCAAAAGCCTACTTTGTGATTGTTCCCCCTTCACATCAGCGTTTGCTGGGAGGGTATGCTCCACAACTGTACAACCCATGCCTGCCCAGCAACCTGTTCCATCTTGGGAGGCCACGCTTTCCGCACATTTGACGACAGACTCTTCGACTTTGACGGCACTTGCGAGTACGTGTTGGCACAGAATCAGAACAGGAATGGCCCGCCCTTCAGCATCTTCATGGACAAGTCCAACTGCAGGGGCAAAAGTCTGGGCTGCGTTCCATTTGTCAGCGTTGTGACTCCGGATGGAACCACATATGGGTGAGTTACAGTGCACATGTTTTGCATTAAGACTACTCATGAGCAATGCCACTCTAAGCTGAGTTGTTCAGAAGAGTACATGTATTTGTCAAACTTTATGTTGACTTGCCATTGTGAAGGATCTGATAACTTTACAAAATTTTGTCCTGAACCACAATGCCTGGAGTTTAAACTTTTATGGCATGGCATTTTCATTTGTTGGAAAGCTGTTTCTACATGTATATACTTCAAAGAAGATGAATGCTAACATGCTTACTGAACCATTAGCATATAGTATTAGTCCTCAAAGAACTTGTCCAAGGCGCGGTATTATTTTCTGTCGAAATAAACTTTTTAAAGTGACACGATACCACGCATATAGTCCTTAACAGAAGCTTGACTTTGCAATGCTTACCTTTGGTGCTCATTTGTTCAAGAATTGTGAGACATTTTTCAAAATGTTGTCAGTTTTTTGAAACTCTGAGACAGCGTTGTTGAGCAGTATTTGCTAGCTTGCCCACCTGTGGTTTCACATATGCTCAATCTCCACTATAAACCAGTTTGAGCCTTTGTGTCCGAATAACGTCATTCATCACTTCATATAGAATTCTGCCAGAATATACTCAAATACCTTCTCATACACACCTGAAATCCTTGCATGTTTACTTATCACCAATACCAAACGATTAAAAGTGGCAATCTAACTTGCAAATATAAATACTCAAGAAAATAGATGAATCCTGTTTTCAAAACAGCAGGAATTTTATTTTTGTTTCCTTCAGTGCATCTTAACTATATCTAAATGTATATTACCAGAACATTTATGATTACAGGACATTCCCATGAAACGAAAATGGAGTTGGTGATGTACAAGATAGACATCAAAAGATTTTGAAGGAAACTGTACCAGCTTTTTACAGCCAACAAAATCGATCACTTTAATTGTGAATGGAATGAAAGAGATCAATATTTCATGTGCTGATGAGCTAGTATTTGACCTGAGTTTCAACATTTTTGAAAACTTATGATATTCAAGGCTGGATCCAGAACCAATTGGGGCGGGGACAAAACTTGTTTAAGAGGGGCCCCCCCATTTTTTTTCATGCAACATTTCATAGCTCTTTTCCATTTGAGGTAACACTTTTTGGCTTTTCCACGCAATGTGAAGAAAAGGAAACAAAACAGACCTAAAAGTTCACCTTATTATTTTGCCAAAACAAAAAGAAGTTGTCTCCTTTTGGGAGTCCCTGGCCCCCCACCCCCATCGTATCTGCCCTTGATGGTATGTTCATTTCAATTTTGGTCACTCTGTCGATTCAGACTACAGGTGGAGGGCGCAGTGTTTGTATCTAGAGCCAGTGGACCTACCCAGGAGTTGAAGCTACCATACACAAAGGTGGCTGGCGACAGTAGTATCACAGTCAGCCGGGTTTCATCCCTAGTCACTCGCGTGGTGCTGCCACAGCTGGGCATTGAGCTGTTGTGGAGTAGCGATAACCGCATCTATCTCTCAGTGACAGAGAACATGCTTGGCAAGGTGATCACTAATTCCATCCCCCTGAAACTTATGAGGGCTGCTTATGCAGTACCCCAGGGGCCAATTTATTGAGCTGCTGAAGCACAAAATTTGCTTAAGCGCGAGAAAACCTTGCTTGATAAATCAGGTAACCAGCCAAAACTCCATGTGATGTATATTATTTTGGGATCCCGTCTTTTGGTTAGCATGACAAACAGATAGAGTTTGAGGTGGTAACCGTTGTTTTTTAAGCAAGGGTTTTTCATGTCTAAGCAAATTTTGTGCTTAAGCAGCTCTATGAAATTGGCCCCAGATAGTTCCAATATTTCAGTGTTAATAGAATCTTATGCTAAGCTTTAGTGTCCATATAAACATAAAGATTCAGCATTGCTTAACAGTTTTCAATGATATGCAGTCACATGGAAACTTCTATCGCAGTTGACACATATACTGAAGCACACAGTCGGCAAAGTTTAGTCACATTCAATTTTGCCTACTATATAAAAGTTGAGTTGCTAGTGTAGGTCCACACAACAAGCACTAGCTTGCATGACGGATGTACAATGACGTCTTTCGGGCTTGAACATTGGATATTTGGTCTATTTTCTCAGCGTGACTAACATACTGAAATCCAATTGTCGACAACATAGGTGATCGCAAATGAAATGCATCAAAGCGAAGTTCTTAGTTTCAAGAAAAGGTACAACTGCCTCTAAGGCAGTTCATATGAAAATTTTTCTGAGTTTTTGGATGCTGTACTTTTCAATTCAAATATCACCATCTTCCATGACAGTCTGTTTTGACATTTTGCGTGCTGTCTGTAATTTCTTCTTTCCCTACAGTATACGACTGTATAACAAGGCTTCACAAAGAGTTGGATGTCTGTTTTGTACACAGTATACCCCAGGAATCATTGATTGTTCAACCTTTTTTGTCGGTACCGTTTAGATCCATGGCCTCTGTGGGTACTTCAACAGGGTTCTGAATGATGACTTCCAGCTGCCGTGTGGTTCCACGGTGGCTGTGGCCCAGAACTTTGTCGGCAGATGGATCTCCAACGCTCTCTGTAAGGAGAGAGAAACCAGGGACAGCTTCAGCTTCTGCGAAGCCGAGAACTCCTTTGAAAGAAGTGCCAAGGCGGCCTGCGAATTGCTAAAGATGGAACCGTTCCAACAGTGCAATACCAAGGTAGACGTCACCAGATACCTGAAGCAGTGCCTCTTGGACCGTTGCAATAACTTTGAAGGTGGCGAGTGTGTGTCTTTCGCCGCGTACGCCTTGGAATGCACCAAGATGGGTGAGATCATTGACTGGAGAAGCTCAGAGCTGTGCCGTAAGTTAATTTCTTGTACATGTTGAAAAACCTGTCACACAAGTGACAATTTAATTGAAATTGTGAACCATGGGCTTGTATTCTTTCTAATGAAAATTTAGTTCATCTGGCAATCCATAACAAGAAGCTGAATTGGTGCTTGCATACTGATTGTAAAGATGAACAAAGAAGTTGACTGGAGTGGGATTTGAACCTGCCACCACTGCATCACAGCAATGGTGCTCTACCAACTGGGCTACCAAAACAAATGTTTATAGTTTTGCCCTTTTGTCAGTATCTTTGTTCGAGGGTTCTGGTCGGAAGCAGTAATACCACCGTATAACTAGGGATCATGCCCACAGGATCATCCCACCATGAATTGTTAATGATGCCAAGAACATTAGCAGTGTTGCAAACCTTGATAGTGGCAAGCGGGGGAGTACCCAAGGTGGATACAGTATGTTTAACACAAGTCAAAAGCCACAACAGTGTCTTTTTTCATGATTATAAATTATTTTCTTAATTTTTCATCCATTCACATTACTTTTGAATTAATGGCCTGTCATTTTTATCCTACCCCAGTGTTAATCTTTGACTAGGCCATTTGCCCATACATTTTTCAATATTTTATGGCCACGACAGAATAGCAAAAATGCTACTTTGTAATGAAAGCAATTGTTGTTCAAGCAAGATGTTTCAAATTGTTTTGTTTATTATTTTGTGTGCCGCAACAGCCATCGAATGCCCCGACAAAATGGTGTACAAAGAATGCGGGTCCATGTGCAGGATGTCGTGTCGGGATCTGGAGAATGTTGAATCTTGCCAAGAGCAGTGCGTCCAAGGTTGCCAATGCCCTGAGAAAATGGTATACTCTCCATGAATAATTATCCACAAGTTATCAGACATCTTTGATTCGACTTGTGGGGTATAATTAAATGTGTTGGAAAAGTAGCCTGCTTGTATGGACCTGTGAAACTTTGTTATTTTGTTCTTGAATAAGATCTTAAGACCTTCCTTTTTCTGCTTCTTAACCTTAATTTACTCTCTCTGCACAGCATTAGATTTCCATAGAAGTACCGGCACATAAATTGCATTACAACAATTTCATGGCACCCTCTTTCCTGGGATTAAAACAGATTGCCCAAAATGACGTTAGACAATTAATACATCTGCAACACCTATCATATCATCTCCATATTTTCAGATGCTTTTTCAAGAAATTTGGTGGTATTAAACGTAAAGTCTTCACTTGGTTTTCTTTGTTGCAATAAGTTGGAGAAGGAAAATTCTGTGACATTTTTATCTTATCACAAGAAAGTTGTGTTCACAAGAAAATTAAGATTTAGGCATGCTTTGAAAAGGTTTCTTTGTCCACTCTTTGGCTGTGAGACTTGAACTCTCAAAAGCCAAATCACGCAACCTTGTTGTTTTCATGTTTGCAGGTGTACAGTGATCAACTTGATGGATGCGTCTTGGAATCCGAGTGTCACTGTCACTTCCAAGGAAATGTTTACCAGCCCGGCAAAACATGGAAGAGCGTTTGCAATGCATGGTGAGTAAAAATCGTAATCCAGTCACTACTGGCACAGATAAGCACATAAGCTCAGATCAACACATGTGAAAATGAAATGGAAGTCACTAGAGCACCTACACATTTTATGATGTCCATGACTTTGTACTGGGATTTTCCTGATAACGTAGTCATCGAAGCCACTCCTGAGTTTTAGTTTTATAGAGCATACTATACCCTTTGCTTAGATGCATCACTCCACTTGGCATCCCGGTGAAAATGGACATTATGCAAGTGAAACGTGTTGATGGTTCCCATTGGTTTACATTTTGCCCGATTTTTTCAGACGTCACTAACTCCAGAATGGCTCTGACAATTTTCCATTTCGTTTTCATGGCGCAAGTCACATGTCAGAAGAAAAGACTGGGATAATTCAACTATTAAGAAAAATCAAAATCCAAAAATAGACAAATTTGAAGGAAAATCGGTGTTCAAGATGCATCAGGCATGCTGGAACTCCTGAACTATGTTAGTCCTTCATTCCTGTGCAGCTACATTACTGTTGTTGCTATCTGTTGGCTTCAAGTTTTTGCACTTCGAACAACAACCAAAAGTTTGATTTGTGATTTGGTCTCAGCTTCTGATATTTCCAAACCGTTGTCATTTCCTTGACAGTGTCTGCAAAAATGGAATTGTTGAGTGTACCAACAAAATATGTACAGGTATGTAAACACTACTTTCGAAGGGCCGTTATTAAAAATTACCAGCAAACTCTGTCGTATGGTTATGCTGGTTGTTTTTTTTCTGTCTACAACATACAGTATATTGCAATTGAAAGTTGATACTAAATTAAGATGGGAAATTAAGATGAAATTAAGATGAAAAGAATTCACTCTCTTATTCACAATCACATTTTACATACTCAAAGAAGAGATAAATACATGGTGTTACCGCAATCTTTACTATAGATCTAGTTTCTTTCACCATGAAAACCTTTAAGTCTTATACACATTTTACAAGGCGTGAAAATGTTTTCCCACATGTGAGAAAATCTGGGAAGATCTTTTCCAACTTGTGGGAAAATCTGTGAAAATCTTTTTCGCACAAGCTTTTCATGATTTGGGAAACAAATTCCCTGGGAAGAGGAAATGTTTGAAGAAAACTTTCCATTTCCAGGGTGACTTTCATTGTTGTGTACTTGACATTGTAACGGCACCATAATCAGACAAGAAGGACATTCCAGTTTCCATTGAGGAGTGCCTCCTAACATATCTTGTTTTTTCTGTAAAATCTAACAGATTTTAGGTGATGTCTAGCGTTTTTCAATTTCAGGGCATTGCTGAAAGATGGGATGCTTAATACTAACCCCTCCAACCAGCAATGCACGCTGAGCAAAATACAGAAATTGTGAAGAGAAATGTCAGCAATTTTTCCATTTCATTTGTACTTTTATGTTTAAAAAATGTATGAAATCAAATTGATAAAGGTATGATGGAATGCCTGAACTATCAAATAACTTCGATGGAGTGTGAACTGTTTGACCATTGTAACTTTTTCTCCCAAATCTACAGCTGCTGAGGAGCAGTGCTCAGGCGGCAAGGTTTATCTCGATTGCCAGGAGTGTCAGCGGGAATGCCGTAACATCCACCTGGCTTGCAATTCAAAGACCTGCACCCCAGGTTGTGCGTGTCCGGCAGGCACGGTTATCACCGATGATGACACCTGCATGCCCGAGGAACAGTGCCCTTGCTACGAAAATGGGCATAGCTACCGGCCAGGCGAAACGTTTAAAAGGGACTGCAATTTATGGTACTGTCATGGCTCAGATTACTAGTTAGTGTAGCAGATAGCACAAAGCGTGAACCATGAATAGCGTCGGACGTTTGTGGATGCCAAAGTAGGACACTGGGTTTTGTGAATTTAAAGTAAACTTTTAGCCATTTTTGTGCCAAAGGATGTGTTTAACATGATCACGGCTCTCTGTGTACATAGGCCCAGCTGACGGGTTTAACACCAAGCTCACCTTGATTCACCTCCAGGCCAAAGTTTAAACATGCCAATCCCCTTTTGTCTTGTGCAGACAGAGTCCGAGGAGGCAGACTTGGTGTTGAACATTAACTTACCTTCTGTGCAAATTTTACTCTGTACGCTTGTCGCAGAGTGTTTCCAAACATGAGGTTGCAGTGAGAATTTAAAAAATACGGAGGTTAATGGTAATGCAGGAAAAAAACAGACTACGTGTATGTTGATAGCATTGCGACAGTGATTGTATTGTCAGTACTTTGACATAGGTGTTTAAAGTCATCCGATTGGCTCCTAAATCTACCTCAGAACTGAAGACTTAAGAGCATCTCAGGCAAATGTTAAAAGAAAATAATACAATATCACATTAGTTAATAGTGACCCATGCTGGTATTACGCGTCCACACTATATCCATATGAGTCAATTTGTTTGTGAAATTATGGTCATTGAAGACGTTTTTTCCCTTACTTTCAGCATGTGTACACCCGCCGGTATTTTCTGCCACAACAGAGTTTGTCCCGGTCAGTATTCATAAAGTATCAAAAGTGTAGGCGTACTGTAGAAATAAGGCAGTTATTGAAATTCTGAATCTGTGCATCAGCCTTTAGTCATGTTAGTTCTGCACTATAAAGCTCAAAGTTTGCAGTAAGCAGCCTGAAATTACTAGCAGAAAAGTTCACATTTGATTGGTGTCAACACATTTTTATCTTGTGCAGCTACGTGCAGAGGATATGGAGATCCACATTACGTAACATTTGATGGAAAACAGTACGAGTTTCAAGGTAAGACTTAATGATGAATGTGGACGATTTTTTTTCTGTTGTGCATGACAAATCCCTATTCCAGGCGGATGTATTGTTTTGAACGTTAGATGTTTTCAACGTGACATATACGTCACCACCTACATGTATTCAAATTAGCCAACTGGCCCTTTTAGTAAAAATCTTAATCCCCAGGCAATGGATACAGAAAATTTTCGGAACAATTGTGGCGTCAATAGTATGAGGTCATTGATGAGAAAGTGCACTGAAAGGTCACTTAAAATAAAAAATATCTCTTTTAAAGTGAAATCAGGCCAAAAGATTTGATGAAATTTAAGTGTACCTACCCAGAGTTGGATTGCACCCTCATTGGAAAACGAGAAATTTGTTGACACCTGTTGGCACAAGTGTGCAGACTGTACATCAAAGACAAATTGTTTGTGTGTGCTCATGGACTCCCTATCGAAACACTCGGGAATCTGTGTTGGCATGCCGTGAGTTTCTATCAAAGGACCATCGCAGATGTGTAAAAACACACCCAGTCTTGTTCATTTTCAATGTGGATTGGTCCCTCAAAACTGGTTTTACAAGTGAAAATAGTCTGGGCTGTGTTCTGTTTCCATAACGTATTTCTTTAAAGCTCAGAATAAGGCCATGGAAGATATTTGCCAAAAGTCTCCTGACTGCCTTGAGGACTGCTTAGCACTGCACTGAGAAAATGAGGATTCTAATCTTGCTCTTTGATTCAGGGGAATGCAGCTATGTGTTGTCCTCAAACAACTGCCCCTGGGGGTCACCCGGTCATGTGAGCTTCACCGTCATCGTGGAGAATGTGCCCTGCGGCACCTCCAAGGTCACCTGCACCAAGTCCATCACGTTCCTCCTCCTGGACGTAGAAATTCGGCTAATCCGAGGCGACAACCCACACATAACCCCAGCACCGCCCACACCAACCAAGGCGGTGTACAGAATCAATTACAGTGGCATATTTCTCGTCATCAACACGAAATATGGTAAATCTTACTTTGTTTCTTTTAGGTTTGAAAATTTGCAAAGTGTTAGCCATTACAGAGTGGCAGAAATGCACTGAAAGAAGACATTCATAAGCTTTCAAATGTGACGCTGTGGATCCCAAAACATTCTGCCATCTGTAGCAGATGCAATATAAACGTAATCGGACAAGTTCAGGTGCGATTTATAGTTTGACTGGTATCTAGTTGCTTTTTAAAAATGGACATGTGCAATTCAGTTACGCTCAAACAACCCCAGTCGGTCAATATTTTAAATCTCATTGTTACATTTCACAGTTGGCTGTGATTCTTGCAGTGCACGTGCTTAGTGAAATCACGTACATTTATTTTTGTGTGAATGGCTTCCTCTGTAATGATAAATGAAATCGGCTATTGATAACCAGCAGCTCGACCACACCCCTGACCCTGATCCCAAATGGTCGACAAGATAGTCAAAACCATCCATCATTCAGGCGGTGTTAGTTGAATTATAGTCAACTATACTTGTTGCCCGAACTTGAAGATAGATTTGCCCTATTGCAATATGATCTTCCTACACATCATTTCATTTGAAATATGCACCTTTGATTCCCTTCGTCTAAATATTTAAAGATAAGGCCTCAACCACTTGCCAATGGTATTTTTTAGCACGACTTTGTCCCTGGCACAGAAACAGTTTTTGCTGAAAATATTGGCTTGTGAAAACAAGAAGATACCACAACGACAGTCCTTGCAAAGATGACCTTTAAAAGTGTTTGTAGTTGGTGATTTGTTCAAGATTTGTGCAACATTTGTTACCGTCTTCTTGCTCTTTTTCAACTGAGACAGCATTACAGAGCAAGATTCGTTACAATGACTGTTAGTGGCCCACAGCCTCTCGAGGGCCTCACACACACTAATTTGTGGACGAATTTGAGCCTCTGTGAGTGTGCAATCTCACTGGAATTACTCAGTCAATTGGGATGAGTAAAACTGTCATTCGGTACCTCATAGAGAATTCATTAGAAATGCACTTGAACATCCTTTATGTTACGATGCAGGAAATCAAACGGAAGCTTTTCATAAAGCTTTGTGGCAGGACACTGTTTAAGTCACATGTAAACTTCATGAGACTGACACTATTCAGCACTTTCCTTTCTTAACCTTTCCAACAGGAATCACGCTGCTGTGGGATTTCGGCACTTCCATTTATGTCACCTTGGATGGAAGCTACAAAGGGGATGTTTGCGGCCTCTGCGGTGATTTTGATGGCAATGCTAAGGATGACTTCAGGTCGCGGCAAGGGGAAGTGGAGGCCAGCGCCAACATTTTTGGCCACAGCTGGAAGACAGACCCCAGCTGCAAAATCCCTCCAGACACAGTCCACCCCTGCGAGGAGCACCCGGAGAGACGAGACTGGGCCCAGTTTGCCTGCGGGATTATCTTGAAGCCTATCTTTGCACCTTGTCACGATTTGGTGAGTTTGATTCAGGCGTGCCTGTGCAAAGAACGGTAAATTCTACTCTCACCATAAAAGAAAAAATGTGTAATAGCCCTGTGGTTGGACTTTTCCTCTGAAATATTCCCATGATTTTCATGCAATCAAGTAAACTTTTTAATTTCCTGAAGCCAAGTTTGGACATTTGCCTATAAATTCTACTGCAAAGAAATGATGTACGGCTTCCAAATTTTTTCTTTCAAATTAAGTCTTTAATTAACCTAGACTAAATCAAGTTTTGGTTAATCATGGTCTTTGGCAGTGAGATACAGACTCACAGTCCAAATATTTCCTACTCTATCCAACATCCTGTATGCTGGAAATCATGTCTCTAGATTAAAAGCATCCCGCAGTGAACAGACATGAATTACTTTGAATTTCTGAATTATTACATCTTGACATTACATGTGTTGTCAGTATGTATGAGATAGATGAGAGCTTAATGTCATTAATGTCCATGTAATGTCCAACATTAAAAAAGATTTAAAAAGTGAGAAAATGTTGCTATGTTGCACACTTTACATCACCTATTGCACTCACAGCTAAAGCCTGTCATGCTGACAAGATGAAATTTCTTTTGCCCATGTGTCGTTAATATAAAAAAATTCACTTGTCAAAAGGCAGGCTTTATCTTGTTGAGATGAATAGGCCGTATTTTATTTTACCTTTCACCAATGTAGTTTATTGTACATTGCATACTCATTTCCACTGACAAGAAGCAGTCTTGTCGTTGTGACCGGAAATCAAAGGTTTACTATGTGAGTGGATGCAGAATGGGATGGACACTGCAACAACGAGATCATTATTTTTTGTATTCAACCAAATTGCAAAAGTTGCACTTGGCATATCATGAACACTGTGGAATGGATTGCAGGTTGATCCGACTACGTATTACGAAAACTGCGTCTATGACAGCTGTGGTTGTGACAGGGGTGGTGACTGTGAGTGTCTGTGCACCGCCATCGGCAACTATGCAGCTGTCTGCAATTCAATGAATACACCTGTTAAATGGCGATCAGATGGAAACTGCGGTGAGATACGCATATTTTATTGTGTTTTTTGACCATACAAATGTATTGCCCCCCTTGTAATTTTAGTTTGTCATTCGTTTTACTTCCCTTGGCATTTCTAATTCCTAAACATACTCGGTTGTGTTAACTGGTCACAGAGGAGAAAATTTAGAACCTCTCTATGCGATGCTTATTCCCAGTGTCATTTTTCCATTTACGCTCTTAAGGTATGCAGTGTGACAATGGCATGACCTACCGGCCGTGCGGGGAAGTCTGCCCGGACGAATGCTACGAAGATCCAAGTGGTGCAAAGAAAATAGGATGTGAGGTCACATGCGTGGAGGGTTGCCACTGCCCGGAGGGTTTTAAGCTGGTAGACGGCAAATGCGTGGATAGCGTCCTATGCCCGTGCCTGTACAACGGTAAAGAGGTCGACCCCGGGTTTGTTATCATCAAAGATTGCGAGCGTTGGTGAGTAGCAAACCATTGTACACTCCCCATCAGCTGATTAGTGAGTCATTGATGACAATGTGTTATGATGAAGTGCCCAACTTACTGCCAGAGGTGTGACTATGGGTGGATTTGCACAGTGGGCACATGTCCCCCCAGAGGAAGTCTATGCCCCGCAGCACTCCTCTATCTGAAATTTTGAAAGGTACATCGCCCCCTTGAAGAAATGTGTCCACCACCAGGTGAAGCCCTCGAAAGTCTGTGCATGACACATCAGCTACACTGCAAAACTTTATCCGACGTTCCATCCATCCACAGACACAAGATATTTCTGAACTCATGATGCAGGTATTCATGCAGGCATTGTATGAAACAAATGATTGTTTCACTGCATGCTTATTGGGCCATATCTGTGGATTGCTGAAGCAGTCAATAGTTGCTTGCACCATTGCTAGGGGACAGACTGTAGTTTTTTATGTACATGTAGCTGTGTTGCCCATATAATTGAATTCTATGCCCATTGCACATGATATGAATGTGACGTTTGACCATTGACATCTTTTGTCTTTTTTCGAGCTACATATTTGTGGACACACACGTTTAAATTTCATGTAACGCAACTCTTTCCTTTTAAAAAACACAGTAGGAAAATAATTTGAGAAACATAATTGTCATGAGAAGAGGTTCATAATGAAGCAAAAGTACAAGAAATGACTGCTTTCAAAAGTGACATTCTTTTTAAAACCAGATTTTTAAACAACAATTTGCCGCTGTCATATTTAGAAGTAAGAAGTCTAAAACGTTGCCACAACTACTTTTCCTTTTGAAGCGAGTGCACAGATGGTGAAATGGTGTGTACAGAAGTACCTTGCACAACACCAGGTAAGTTCTTTCTTCAAAAGAGAAGTCGACTTTGCCAAGCATTTCCAAAAAATGCAGATAAAGACTTTGGACCACACAAATATGGCCTCTTTAAAAGTCTCGCGCTTGCATGATTGTGCCCTAGATCGTAAAACTGTGTGAAAATGAACCATTTGAACCAAAGTCTCAACTTCTGTCTATAAAAATAAGCGGAAAATGCTCGTACAAAGATGCACTTAATTTCCCGTAATTTGCAGCCAACTTTGAATTGTAAAAAGTAAAAAAGCTCCAGCAGCCAAGCCTGCATATTCGTTTTGATTTTCGAAATGTTGATCTGTTGTTCACCTGTCATACGGTTGTTGCCAGAGCTTGCAAACTCAACTGTGGCACAGTGACTGCTAATTTTTTTCTGTTATCTCATTTTCTTCCCAGTGACCCCAGTTTCTGTCACTCCGCCGTGCACCTGTCCTCCCGGTGAGATTCCATGTCGTGACTGCTCCAAATGTGTGCCATTAGTGGACGTATGCGACAAAAATAATGACTGCGATGATGGTTCTGACGAAGACACCTGCGAATGCGTCTACAGAGATCACGTCTATCCGGTAAGCGTTCCATTTGTGTCTTCCAAATGTATATTCTTCTATCTTACCACAGCATTTGAAATGTAATATTTATTCAGTTTTTTCAGTCCTCTTTGAAGCTTTCTATTTTGTGAATTACATGTAGTCTTTGTCCTCAGCTAACATTTTTCAAAGTATACTTTATTCCATCAATTTCTTTTTCTGGAAAGGTATTCCATGTTTATCCGTGTCAAAAACACTACTGTTTTGCAGTTTTAGCTCCCAACTAAATTTGTTCTGTACGGAGCTAATTAATGGCTTTTAGAAAAACACACAATAAGATGAATCACTCTTACACGTCTGATTTCTGAGTGTTTTGAGTTGCAACAAGTGCAATTTTGATTTTTGTCTTTCCATAGATTGACGTACCATTTGATGGTGATGGTGCATGTGAGATTTGCAAATGTCCAAATGGCACCATGATACCGATCTGTGAGAAAATCTGCACTCTCACCTGTCCCCCTGTGAGTATAGAATTTCTTCCATTAAGATTTCCATACAGCAGGTATTTTGGGTCACTATGCAAACTTGATCTTTATTTTGTGACAAGTGCTTTGCAAGGGAGAAAAGGGCAAACATTGGCCAGTATGATATCACAATCTCTGAAGACGGCAGTATATGAGGGTGATGTCCACCTGAAATGTGAACCTTTTCATGTCATTAAAGAGTCCATGTGATTACATTTTTTTAGACACACTTTTGTGCATCCTGACACTTTTTTTTAAGTACACAGTATATTAAAACTGTTTGACATCTATTTGGGGATATGTGTATTGGAAAGTGAACTTTTTAAAATTTTTGTAGAATTGTCTATTTTTCTGAACCGGCGCTGTCATCATGATGTAAACCAGGGAAAATAACTGTTTAGTTTAACATGGCTATTCTTTTCAAATTTTTGTTCTAAAATTTGCTCATTTAAGATATTTACAGGGATGCTATTTGGCTTATTGTCATATACTCACACAGAATAAGTCACCAAAGAAAAGGACATTTCTGACAGCAAAGTATAAAATTCCAGCAGTTTGTTGTGCACAAATCAATGGTACATTGAGGCTTGGCCGAAGACAGTGTTGCTCATGAATATGGACATGTGAATTACCGTAAAGCTAAAAGGGCTCCAAAATACCTATAAGTATAGCAATATTTCACAAAGGAGAAATATATTAATATTTATACTTGTTTTAAAAACTGAAGTTTTGTCTGACACATGTCCTTGTGCCAGGCCCTCTCCTCTGCCTGGGCCACTGGATATTTACCTGTCAGTGTTAATTTTCAATGTAAGAATAGCAGAAAAGGACTGTGCATGATGCACTTCATAATAAGATGGCTACATCATGAAGTGTATATCGGTTTGAATCATTCATAACAGTACGAGAAGTTGTACCTGAACGAGGATGATCCAACAAAGTGCTGCGAATGTGGACCAGTACTTGGTGAGAACAAAAACGTCTTAGAATCTACATTAGACTTACTTACTCATCAGAGAGTTTCACTCCCAGGAATTGAACTAATTGTGAAACGTGCCTGTTGGAATAATTATTTACTTATCTTTAGTCTCACGGAGGTTGTATTTTGTTGTTTTTTTTAATAAAACGTGCATGTTACATTTAAGGCTTCTTATTTGTGTAAAAAATATTTGTTGATTTTCCACAGTACCCACCACACTACCAGTTCCCACAACAGGTATGTAGCAACAGCAAATGGAAGAAATAACCATCATTCAGAGCTTGAAATTGATACACATGGGCCATTTTCCAGCACTCAACTTCGGCTCCGTCTCAGGCTTCAACTATTTTTTTACTACCTGACTTTGAAGCAGTAAGCACACTAATTAGTCTAATAGTGCCACAAAATATTAAATAAGATGCAAGAGAGCAAAAACTTACAGTAATCCAATTTGAAACACTTCAGGCCCACAATCGGGGATTGGTTTTGGGGACGAAGCCTAAGACGGAGACGAAGTTGAGTATTGAAAAATGGCCATGGATGTTTGATAGATTTTATGGTCATAAGATTAAAAATAGTGAAAGAGCCTAGAGAGAATACAAGGAGGCAAATCTTAAATACTTGCTGTTAAGAAGCTTAGTTCCATTCATGACCACTGTCGCCATTGATATTTTTGGCTGTGTTCTGTAAGGGCCAAGAGACCGATCCATTATGCCTCACCCAAGGGTCTATCAACTAATCAAAGCAGCAGTTGATATCTGACAAACATGAAGTCGCAGAAAAGTCTTGATGTCTCGGCATGTGATGTGTCTGAGTGCAACATGCAGTGATGAGACATCAGAGACACGCACGCTTGTGCGGTGGCAGGGGTCACTCATTCATAATTTTTTATTGCTGCTTATTTTATACGTGTGTACGTGTTTTCCCTGATTGTGTTTTGTTGTCTCTTTTGCATTGTCTTGTTTGTTTCTTGTAATGGCATGCCTCATGCAATCTGTGCTTTCAAGGTCTTGCCACCTCTAATGGCCTATTATCTCATACATTGTTAGTACTTACATTTTGTTATGAGGAGGAAATTATTGGACATTATTGAATTGATTGAACACTCTGCCATTGAGCACTTTGAAAAGTAAATGTCTTGGCAACAGTTTGAATTTACAATTTCAATTCAAACCTAGAAAAATACACCCAAAAACCCAGTTGTTGGCCTTTTAACAGACTATGTACAGGCTACAACAATTATTCTTCATGGATCATGGAGGGGGGTTCAGTTTTACTATACCAGGAGACAAAGTAGTTAATTGTTTTCATCCACCTCAGCCACAAATTCTACATGATTTAAACTAGAACTGATTATTTTAATCTAAATACAATTGAAATGCTCTTCTATGTGAATATGTTCTTTGTTGAAAATTCACACTCATATTTCCAAACTACCTCCTCACAAAATGTTTGAACTTAGCTCTGTGGCGCTATATGTCGCTTTGGGTCTGCAAGTAATGCCTCCATATGCATTTGCACACGATACCAACTGTTTTATGCATGGTACTTTGGTTGCTATGGGTGTAATTCTTTGGTCAGCACAACAAGATAGCAAAAGTGGCAACTGCCGTGTGACTATTTCGGCCAATCAAGAGACTGAAGAGACAGAACCTGTGGGTAATGTGTTAATAATTCTACATTTACTTCTTTTAGGAACAACAACACCGGTCACAACTGGCACCCCTGGGGAAGTGTGCACCGACAACCTGGATGAGTATGACCGTGTTCAAGTCACTCGCTATGCCTCAGATGACCCGACACGGCCCATCCAACCAGACGAATGGTGGAGGCCCGCATACCCACCCCATTTTGAATCACCGTACGTGGGCTCCTATATGGAGGTACGCTTTACGCCAGACACGCGGATTACGTATGTGGCCATCACCAATGACATGGACAGCCAAATCAACATAAGGCTCAGCTTCAAGTACTCTCCCGATGGGCAGCACTTCTCCACTATTGATACAGACGAGCTCGGAGCAATTTTTATTGGAAGGACAAATGAAAAAATTCCCCTGCCAGATAACGTACCGTACATGCTCATCTTAAGGGTGTATCTGGTAGTGGGTCAAGAGAGTCTACCACAAGGCATGAAGTTCCAGATAACACTGCACGGCTGTGAATTGCCCAGTAAGTAATGACAGCTCAAGATTCCGGACGAAAACATATGTTGCAAAAGGATCGCCAATGGCATGCAAGATGTCAAGATGCAGGCAGGGTTGGAGGGGACATGCGTGACGTCATACCATCAAAGAAATTTGGCATGAAGGGCGTCTACACTTGATGTTTTGCTTTGAAATGTCTCATTTAGGTGGTTTTTAGCACCTCTTTATGTTAAGTGGTATTTCAGTTCCATCGTGCGCAATTTAAGGGCAGCTATTTTTTGACAATGGGTGTGTAATTTTTAGTTCTGAGCAGAAAATAGCCACAGTGTATGTACTGAGTGAGACGAAGGTCATGTGGCTATTGTGCCAGTGCTTGTGACTTCGTATGGGCATACTCTGCTCTCTCAACACAGAGATTTGGCAAAGATGATGAACATGATGCAACTTTCAAAACTGTCTGTAGTTGTGTTTTGTTACCTGTGATGAAGCATTTTCATGTGACTGCCATATTGTTGGGTACTGACCAGTGAACACAGAATATGATGGTCCCCAGGGCTCAAAATTAACGGGCGCAGGTAGCCAAAATGCACCTGTTTGTCTCAAAAATGCGCCTGTCAATCATAATGACGGGTGCAAGTACTTACGCTTGTTTGATTCCATGTACCTGAACATACTGTTTGTTTCTACTTTTGTCATGAAAAATACCTGAACTTTGACTTCGCTTCGGATCGGCCATGTCACAGAACCATAACATGGTACAATTTGTTTGCAATGTCACGTTATATCACCGAACGTACGCCGCAGTGTTGCATGTGATGCATGCTCACACGTGAACGTACACGCCTACCCGTGGCCGGCCAATGTCACGATCTCGCTGAATGGTCTGCACAACGGCTCTGTCTGAATCAAAGATCGTATAGCGCCGTGAAGCAGCGCAAGATGGCAAACTTCACTGTGAATACATGTAAAACATTGTAATCACATGGGTGCTATTTGAGCAAGCGATACGCCTGCACATTGCACATTAATGCACAGGCGGAGGCGCCATGGCAGGCACGTGCACCTGGTGAGCCTGCGCCTAAGCATTACCGTAAACTGCGCAGGCGTATCGCTTGCTCAAATGGCGCCCATGGTAATTACAACTTTTGGATAGAGTTATCCATCTGGCTCCTTTGGTGCTATGCGATCTTTGGTCTGAATCGATGCGGCTGGAATTTATACACAATTGTATGGAAACTGGCCCCTTGTGTGTAAATTCAAAACTGAGTGGATTCAGCTTAGACTTCAGTTTCGCTGGTTCCAGACATAGCTTGAAATATGTGGTTTTGAACCACGCTCCAAACTAGCTTGAACCAGCTAAACCAAAGTCTCAGCCTTATACATTCATTTCGAAAATGCTTGATTGCTGCAGTTAGTTCCCTTTTACGTCTGTGTGCATATGCACGTTATAAAGGCCGGGTGCCCGACTTTTTGCGGAGCGTCACTATTGCTAAGCACATGTTTAAGGTTCCGGTTGGTCAAGTACTTATTACTAGTTGTATGTAGTGTGCAACCCACAGAAATAACAACTTGATCAAGGCTTTAATCTATGCCAAAGTCTAAGCCGTATTAGTTATCAGTGTCATTAATTTAAACAAAAGCAACACCAAGGACCTGGGTCTTTCTTTTTTTTTTCTTGAACATATGTCTTTAATATTGTATGGGAGCTAGTTGCTCCCGTAAAATGACAAATTCAGCTGTCTAGGGAGCAAGTTATTGGTCACGTGATGATTAGCCCTATTTCAAGCCCTGGTCTCTCTCTTTTTTCTCTGCGTTGATGAATGGGCCTTACATAGCCCAGCTCGTACCCAAATAGGGAAAAGTTACTCCCATTTAAATGAGACAGATGAAAGAGAAGTAAGCAGTGTAGATCTTAAGGTACATGTATTAACCACAAGACCCTTTGCTAGTTGTGAGATTACTTTTCTTCCATTCAAAACAGGAACCACAACACCAGGACCCACCATTACACCTGTCTTTCCTAACACCACTCCAGAGGAGTGCAACGACGACCTTGACATCTACAGCTCTGTGTCTGTTTTGCGATTTGACTCGATATCGCAGACTGAGATTTCACCTGACACCCCCTGGAGCCCCATAATCCACTCCACAGAAGGAAACCCTTACAGTGGGGCCGGCCTGGTGGTACTCTTCAGGCCTAATATCAGACTGGCCTCCTTTGTCATCAGAAGTATTGGCGGGAACTCCGACAAAGCAAAGGTGGCCATCAAAGTGCTGTTAGCCTCAACGGACAAGTTCAGCCCTATCAACTGGGATGTTGGAGACCCTGTTCGAGATTTCACTTTTGGAGAGAAGATGTACTTACCGTCAGCTATTGAATACATCACGGGAATCAAGATCCACATTATCACGTCTTACAAAAATGAAAGCTACCTGTTCAAATTCCTCGGATGTGAGGGTATGCTTAACAGTACATAGTTAGATGCAAATATTTATGTTTCAGAAGTTTGGCTCCCATTTCAGGAAATGATATCACTACTGGGTTTGTGCCTGAATCTCAACAAAATGGATGAGCGAAGCATTAGATATCTTTTCATTTCAACATGCACGTAGAAGCCCCTGTAGATCTTTGCAAAATCCCATTACTTCTGAACTACATATTTATAACTCTCTCTGAGCATGGTTGTTTTCAATTACAGAAATGACAACTCCAGCAACCACGATAGTTACCACCCCAGTAGCAACGACAACTCTTGAGCCTTGTTCCGATGACCTGGATGACTATGAGCCCATCAAAGTGTTTCGAATCAACAGGGACATCCCCTATCCGATCGACAAAGATACTGGGTTTCGGCCAGTAAACCCCCCACTGGATGAGGACAACCCTTACAATGGATCCCATGTGTCAGTGATTTTTGTACCCACAGCCGAAGTGACGTCTTTTGTGATAACAGTTGACCGTGGGAGCCAAGCGGAAGTCACTCTGGCATTTACAGTGAAGGAGAGTGACTCTTCAGATGCTGTTCCTGTACACAACAAAAACGGCTCGCTGATATTCAATGCTCCCTCGGGTGCTAAGGTTTCGTCTCCGATCAACTTCCAATATGTTTACCAACTGGATGTCTATATAATCCATCCTGACTATGGCAGCGAATTTCTCATGACATTCAACGGCTGCGAGTACATCCGTGAGTATTTAGAGTAATCGGAGGAGATGTCATTTATGCTTTGGCGTATAAGAAAGCTCATTTTGGCAAGTCACTGTACCCTGTTCAGTTAAGGTGGATTTGATGTGTCTTACCATCTGCATGCCAGGGGGGGTTGTTGTAGTAATGGTTTCTGATTCGTTTTGCTGGATTATAAATGGGTCCAAGATTCCCCGTTTGGGTCATTGTACGTGCAAGTGCGGTGTTGGCATCAGGTGCTGTGGGGGAAGTCTATTAATAATTAATGAAAGGGTTGCAATATTGATTGAAGAATTGGTAAGGTAGGCAACATTTAGGTTATCCTCCAAGAGTTTCTTCCGGAGAGTTGTTTGATTTTCAAGTAAGTACTGCTACCATAGTGCTTCCAGTGCTAAATTGAAAGCTGGTTTTTAGCCCAAAAAAATCTGGAAATTGGGACGGATGAGTTAATGACGTGATTTTTTTTGGCTGGTAACAAGCACTGCTAGGTTAGGTTTCAGTTGTGAAGTTTTGATCACCGAATGCTGCTCATCCCTTGGCACTGAACCTCATTTGGGATTGTTACCATTTTTTTACATCACGTTCATGCCTGAAGCATGCAACCTGTGCATTAAAGACACAAAATTTTATTTCCTAAGTGCAGTGATCATTGCCTCATGTTGTGTTGTGACCTAAATTTGGTGTAGCTCATAAATAAGTTAATTTCATGTCATACTGACACTTGTGCTTACATTTCTTATTCAATAGCTCAAATAACTACAGTTGTCGTGACAACTCAACCCTCAGATTTGTCCTTTTTTACTGAATCACAGTGCCTTACTTTAGTTTTTAAATTATGATGACAAACATACATGTATTTATCCCAGGTAGCTTTCTGGAATATTGCCTTCCAGTTGACATATATTAAGCCATATTGTACCGACATTTCTTTATTGAAAATTTGAACACAAGATAAACCCATATTACATATGAACTCGTCTGCGTGTACCTCAAAGCACATATTAATTTTCTTTCAATATTCTCTATTTTGTTTTGTTTCCTTTTACCAGCATCAACACCAACGGTCACAGGTAGGGAGAATATTAAACCCTGGGATTTCAGTCTAGCCTGAAGCAAGTTGTTCTGGAATATTTTAAGCAATGAAATTTTCTAACACACACACTCTGTGTATAACTTACTACTTTTCTTCAGTGTATTAAAACAAATTAAACTCCTTTTGGAGAGCAGACTTTTTCAATTATTTAGAGAACTGTTATGTTTGTCCAGACAAAAGAGGGCACTGTTGCAGTAATGTCAGTTAGAGAAAACACTACTCAGTGTATATGGACTATCTTTTCAAACTGTGAACCCAGCGTTTCCCATTGAAAACATATCGGAAAAAGGGTTGAATACTGGCTTATTGCTACGTTCGCCAACAGAGTACATGTAGAACAGCATGATATTAAATTCCAGTGGTTTCTGTGGAAAAATATCACAGGTTTGTTCACAAACTTAGAAATTGGCCTTACCATGGAAATCAAATGAGTAAATATCATATGATGTCAAAACTACATGTGTACCAGTAAACCGTTTAAAGGAGGAATAAAAAATATAGTTAATTGAAGGACAGTGATGCATTTTTCAAGAACGGCACCCCAAAAAGTGATTGCATTAACCCTTTAAACACTTGAATGCCTGATTCATGCAGTAGTTAATACTGACAGCCTCCAAATGTTTGCTCTGTCATACTAAGATCCATTTCTTGGTCTTCATATCACAGGGGTGGAATGAATTATGTCAAACGTGTTCCATTCCAGAAATCCTAGATTTCACATTGGGTTTCATCAACAAATTGTTCCCTCACAGAACCCGTGACGGAAGTGTTAAACCAGACCCAGCCAATGACGACGAGAGCCCGTACGTATGATTTTATTTCTTTTGTTTCTGGTCATCCTTCTGTTTCTCAAAATCGTTGACTCTCACTGTCAGCTTTAAAACTCGTTTGAGGGACGTTGCTCATTAATCAGATGATCAATTTTTTTCCCCAGTTTTGGTTTCAGTGAGAGTATGCATTATTGTGTAAACTGTCTTAATTCAATAAATGATGATGTGGGTAACCATTTTATTCATATTTTCAGCTTGCGTTCTGAACTGCTTTTGTAAAAAGGACTGTTACGGTAGCGTGACTTGTCTGCCAGATTTTACACCATGTCCTCAAAAGTGTTACTGTGATAATTATGGCAATAAACCGGATTCCCTCGGCCGCTGCATCAGTGAACCAACGGATTGTACAAGTAAGCTGTGAATTCCAAGAATAACAAGAGGGGTTTTAAACTCCTCCCCAGCCCACAGAAATAGTTATAGGCATCTGAATAGACCAATTCAATGAGATGCCATTATTGTGGTGGCAACACATACGGTATACGTGCAATTTGGCAAGTTGGGACTCCCTATCCACTCTGGGTGCGAACGACATGCACATGCTCAAGCCCTTTTGAAACAGTTCACTCCAGCCTGTCTCTTGAGGACGCACTTCAACTTGGGTTGGGCGCACCACCTTTGCATGAGCATTTGCCTCTACAGTAATGGCTTCTTTTGTTCTGATTCTGGATTAGTCGTCTGTGGATAAATGTTTAAACAGATTTGTGATGAACCATCAAATTGGAAATGTTTGATGATAAATTCCAGCCCCAGAAAATTTCTGTTATTTGAGAGAAGTTCGTCAAGGGCCTTTTTACTCCAAAACTTGTAAACAACTAAGCACCAGTGGAGAGTGTAATTTGGGGCATTTGCTGTGATTATTATCAACTTGAAGGTCAATATCAGGGGGTTTTCATTTTGCAGAAGAGCCATTCTGTAAATGTGGGTCTGACGTGTGACATCACTTTGTCCCTGTTGCACCTGACCTGTATAATTGAACAAAATAATGTATCATTGGAAGTCAGCAGAATGGTTCTACAGACACCCTTTATTGCAGTTTCAAGCCTGTTATTCTGCCAATGTCAGCATTTTCAATTAAGCCGTAATTTTGCTAAGACTGGCTAGAAGCACTTTTTATGAAAGCTGTTCTGAATCCTTTTGTTTCAGTATTGTTACTGCTATACATGTGTCCCCTCAAAAATTAAAGCCAGGTTTCCATATCGATGTCAAGAGACAGAGACAATATTGCTAAACAGTCCCCGACCATTCGCAATCCGAGGTAAATGTTTCATCACAATGGATACAGAGAGTCGGCAAAGTTGGATCATGAATGCCCTGCGTAGAGTCGCAGAGTAGACCCATAATACCATAATAAGCGCACATGTGGGCATGACGGGTGTACAATGATATCCACTGGCAGCGGAAGCAGCCCCCCCCCTCCACTTTTTTGTGTCGGGGTAATAGCCCCTCAACTTTTGGCATATTGCCTGATGCATGATGGTCTCACAAATGACCCCTCCCCCACTTTAAAAATCGTTCTGCCACCATTGGCAATGCCCGTCTCACTCTAGCACCACATAGTTTGCCCATTGCCTCCTTGTGATTAAAACACAACACCCCAGTTGTCAAAAACATTGCTGCACATGCATGAAACACATTGAATTGAAGTACTTGTTTCAAGGACTAGAGCAAGCACCTAAAAAAGGTATTCTACACTAACATTTCAGAGTTTCGGATGCCCTTTTATTTCATTTCTTTGGTCGAATAATGTCACACACTGCCTATTCCACAACTCTGTCTCGACCTCTTGTGTGCCGTCTACAGTTGTCACAACCATATGGTAAGCAGGCTTATTGCATGATGTTCCTACAAACTCCCACCACAGTGGTTTTCCCCAAACAGTATTTTTGATACAGTTGGGTACAGAACAAAACGAACCAATTTGTTGGGAAGCTTCTTCTCCTTGAATACTTTTATTTACATGTTTCTTTATTTAATATTTCACTTACAGCTACACCATATTTTCCCACGGCAACTACCCCAGCTTGTGAGGTATGTGCGCTTCATGCTAGTTTGAATTTTCGTGTATTTTGCTTTTGTGTGGTGCCTATGTGCAGGCGTGTCATGTGGACCTCTGCACAAAAGAAGTCCACATAATGTAGGGTATGATGGCATTGTGTGGACTTGCACATGTCCGCACAATGTTTTCCGCTCTCTGAAAAACAGTTTCAGTGGCATTTTACAGGTAAGGTTATCAGTGGCAAAATGAAACGGAACAGTCCAGGAAATCATCATCAAAAATGCAGCTCGAAGGAGTTATCCTAGTTAAGAGATAAAAGAGCATTTTCCTCAAGTTTCCTTAACCACAGGAGAAAAATAGAATGCCCACACTTTGTCTGTAAAGCAAGTATGTGTGCAGGCGTGGCATACATAGTGTGGACCTCTACACAAAAGAAGTCCACACAATATAGGGTGCTATGGAGTAGTGTGGACTCGCACATGTCCACACAATGTTTCCCCTCTCTGAAAAACAGTTTCAGAGGCATTTTGGGGTCAAGGTTATCTGTGGCAGAATGAAGAGGAACAGTCCAGGAAATCATAATCAAAATTTAGCTCCAAAGAGTTATCCTAATTGGAGAAAAAGGAGCATTTTCCTCAAGTTTCCTTAACCAAAGGAGAATGTCCACACTTTGTATGTAAAACAGGTATACATGGGTGGGTGTGTGTATGTTTTGACCATTATCGACTAATTTATGAAAGCAGTTCCCGCCTACATCTAGATTGCTTCATAAACAGGGGCAGCTATTGTAGTACACTGATTAATTGATAATTTCCTCTTATCTTGGTAGTCTGGCTCAACCATGTTTCCAGACGAATGTCAGACATGCGAGTGCATTGACGAGAAGTATGTGTGCCACAAAGACTGCCACAAGACCTGTGAAGAGGTGAGTACCAAAGATCGTATAGCGCCACGAAGCGGCGCAAGATGGCAAACTTCACCATGAATACACGTAAAACATTGTAATCGCTTGGGCGCCATTTGAGCAAGCGATATGCCTGCGCAATACACATTAATGCACAGGCGCAGGCACCGTGGCAGGCTTGTGCACCTGGTGAGCCTGCGCCTAAACATTACAGTAAACTGTGCAGGCGTATCGCTTTCTCAAATGACACCCATGGTAATTACATCATTTGGGCAGAATTATCCATCTGGCGCCTTCGGCGCCATACGATCTTGGTGAGTACTGACACGGGCAACACCATTCTACTACAGCATGATTTGTGAGTGCCACACCAAACTTGTGGTTTAAATGGTTTAAGAGGAAAACAACTGCTTTAGATTTTTTGTAACTGGAGCCTAGTTGCCATATATGAAGCAGATTCAGCACACACTTATCCTCACAAACTAAAATTCCAAACGTCATCAAATACTCAAAGCAGTTACTACTTGAGAGCAGAAGAACAAAGGAACAAGAACAGGCAGAGCTTTAAACAAATCGAAAGAAGAGAGGCATACACTGATATCCCCTTTCTTCCCAATCCAATGTGGCATATGCTAGTAATGGTGCAGCAGGCAAGATGTTAATACATAGACAACTGCACTATTTCTTGAAGCTGAAACAAGTATTAAATTGAATTCAGCGTATTTCATTCATCATTGGCTATTGTTGACAGTTTGGGTTTGATTCTTTAGTCTTCAGGAGTAGAATGGGCTGAGTGTGTTCTAGTGTTAAGTAAGACAGATATGGTTGTCATGCCAGCACGCCATATTTGCGTCTTAATGAGTCAGTGCAGAAAATCAGCAAAGGGTAACATGATCCATCTTTGCCAACTATGTGCATTTGTTTTTGCATCAGTCACTATGAAGCATTTCTATATGAAAGCATCTCATTGGCAGTGCTGTTCGCATCTCTTTATATCGATATTGAAACTGGGGTTAAAGTTTGAACATGACGAAGTGAACACCTTAAGGATGTTGTAAATATTGAGCGATAATTCTCTCTGCTACGTGTAATCTTCCGATGACAAATTTCATTCTGAGTAAAAACGGATTCAGCAGAAGTTAAGAATTAAGAGACGTTGGGAATGAAAGCATAAAAGAAAACCTCAACATTTTATCCTTCAGATCTTTTCTTTTGCTGAAAACTGTTATGATGTCCTTTTTTTTTCCAGGGTGAAACTCTTGTAGAATATGCCGATCCAAATAAGTGCTGCGAGTGCATCAGTAAGTGTTTATATTTAGATCCTTTATTTTGTTCCTGAGTAGAGGGTTGTTCTTGATTTGATCACTGGTGGATATTTTGCTGCCTGGAAGGGAACACAGTTGGGTTGGGTTAGGGTTGGGTAAGGGTTGGTTCAGGGTTGGGTTAAGGTTTGGTTAGGGTTAGGGTAAGGATTGGGTTTGGTTTGGTTGGGTTGGGTTGGGTTAGGTTGGGTTGGGTTTTCAACAGACAGCTGGTTTTTACCCTGAGAAACTGTAATTTACAGGACCTTACTCGAAACATTTCTGTCCTGGCAGCTTTGCTTTCAGCCTGAAAGTTTAATCATATGCATGTGTTTTTAACAAGCACTTCAAATGTACCCAAGTGTTTAGGGGCAGTTTTGTTTCTTTTTATTTATTTTACTTTTCAGTATACACTAACAAAGACATTCGATACACAAAGATACATTTAAACATTTGAAAAAAAAAACATAAAGGATGCCATATTTAATTGGCTCCTGCTGGATTGCCCCAGAGAAGCATAGTCAGATGATATCGAGGGCTCTCCAACTGGTTAAATAGGGAAACAGGAAACGATGAAAATTGCAAATATTATGAATGCAAAAATTTAAGGAAATAAAAACCACCATCAATGTAACCTAATGTACAGTTTCAATTGATAAAGCTACGAATAAAACAAAAATTGGAAGTAACTGAATTTAAGTGACTGATTCTGGCAAGGCATTCCAAAACTAACTACATGTGTGTGGAAACTTAAAGAAATAAAAAAATGGTACAACAGTTTTTCAAAGAATTTAATTTTACTTTAGAAATAATTAGGAGTAGAACGGGTACCGAGTGCCTAGAGGACTTGCCTCCCAACACCTGATCTTTGGTTCGATTCCCAGGCCATATAAGTTATGTAGAGTCAAGTTGTTCATTTGATCTCTCTCGTGCCACAAAGGTTTTTCTCCTGGTTTCCCAGTTTTCCTTCGTCGTAAAACAACCCACCTTTTGGATCATCATCTGTGGCTTAACTTCTTGGACAGATGTGGGTCTTTTGGAGACTACCTGATGGACTTTATTCCTTTACCTTCGCCACATTGTGGTTTTATTGTACATCACATTTGAAAATTGATGTATGAAATTTGTGCTTATGATAATGAAAACATTATTTTTCCATAAAGTACCTTTATGGCTTTCTCAAAATAATGTAAACAGCAGTATTTCTTTACCTTTAATGAAAGATATAGAATAGCCTGTGTGTAAATTTGATGTCACTGCTATTAAGCTTTTCCCCAATTTTTCAAAAAGAATGTGACGATCCCTATGACCACACTGAGGACCCCCAGTGCTGCACCAACGTCACTGATTGCAAGGTCCCACCTGAGGACTCGGGATCTGAGTACTGTAATGCATGCAAACCACCTCTGGTCTTCAATGGCACCCACTGCGTGCCACCCACTGAGTGTCCTTGTATCGACGAGGATGGCTCCCACCAGGTGATGAAATCTTTCATCTGGTTGAGCTAGTTTGAAAATTGTCTATTTTTCACTTTCCTCTGTTGTTCCATATTGTGTTCTTAACTATTCATCTGCCTGTGGATAATTCTGACCCCAAAATGCCTCTAAGCAAAGGAAATTTAGATTATAAAGTATAACAAATTCCTTTATTTTGAGCATAAGTCAGTGCAGCTTTGAGACTTTCTCCCATGAATATCAGAGTTCTGCTCGGGAGATGTGGAAATAACATAAACATAGAAATCAAAGGACCCTGAATACATGTACCTTTCAAAATAGCAAACAAACCTGAAAATAATGTCAGTTGAAACACATGTTTAAGGAGTGTAGCCAACAAAAATTGCATTCCAAAGATGCTCTCATGTGAAACCTCCATTGTCTTCAGTGAAGTTATCAGAATCCTTGAGAGCTTTCACTGTTTTTTGGTCTTCAAACAGAATGGAGACGAATGGCAGAAGAACTCCTGCACAATGTGTGTCTGTCTGGACAGCAACATCATTTGCAACAAAACCTGTGACTTGACTTGCCGAAACGAGGAAACCCTGGAGCCTCCCGATGACGATCATGAATGTTGCTACTGCAAACGTAAGCTTCACCATCCAACAAGATTTGCAGTCCTCTCTCGATATCAAAAGATCACTGTTAAAACAAAACACTGTTATAAAGAGCAAATTCTGCAAGTCCCACTTGCTTTAATTCTCATTTTTTCCCTTGTTTGTCCACTCTTTTGTAAAACAAAGTCCTGGTTATAGCTAAGTAATTTGTCTGGTCCCTGCAACTTTGTTATAACGAGAGTTGATCGCATAATATAAACTGTTTATTCAGTATAGACCTTCCTTTTTAGATAAACATTGACCAGCTTTTGGTATGGACAGCAAAAGTTTGCAAAAGTTTCACCCTTGATTTGCAAGAATCTCTGCTTCAGAGTGCACATTTGCATCTTTAGTGTTGAACTGGGAGTCATTTCCTAAAAGTTGTCAATAGAAAGATTGATTAATTAGTGTTTTAATACTCAAGATTTAGTGTTTTAGTACTTAAGATGTTTGAACAATGTTGTGAATTATTACTTTGGTTTTGTGCTTACGACCAGCCATAAGTCTGCTAGCCATATTGGAAGAAAACCTGTGCTTGTCATGCAACGAAGAAAGGGCTATAATGGTTAAGCAGTGATGGCCGAAGTCCATCACTTTGCTTTGAAACAGTATTCTCTCTGTAATATAATCACTAAACTGCCTCTTGTAAATTACTCAAGTCACAAATCCAAATGAGAGGAAAATCTTACTTCATCACGATCAAGCATGTGTTTCTTTCAAATGCAGCCACCACATTAGGTTGTTATTAAGGGGCGTGGAATGAACCACCTATCTAACTAGAGGAACAACTTCAATAATAAAGATCACAACTTAGGCTTGCTTACTTTCTCTTGTAGCGTGCGTTGGATGCTACTATGAACCTCAAGAAAAATGCTATCCGGTAAGCAGAAGACAGTTACTCTCATGTCTGCCCCACACACCGTAATTTTGGCTTTTCATTTTGATACGACCACATTCTGTACAATTTTATGAATTTTGTCTCACCTCTTCTTGTACTCACTCTCCTAGGTGAATTCTACGTGGAATGACAGCTTATGCATTAAGTGTACCTGCAAAAGCCCACATGAGAACAGCTACATCCGGACATGCAACAACATCACGTGTCCTGATCTTATCTGCCCTCCGGTATCTATTTTTCAAGTGGATTGAAAAGTGGATTCTTAACTGAGGACTGGCGTATACTAGAAGTAGTACTGCAACCTACGGTGTAGATGTATTTTAGAATTGGCTTTAGCTAATTAGTCTTCCGTTCAGTTTGTTAGATTCTCATCTTTGGAAAAACATTTAACAAACTTCTTTGGAAGGAAGCTTGGATTTCAGTTTGTCTTCATTTGATTAGTGGTAGGTCCGAATATGTGCTATCAAAAGTAGATGATCTGTTTTACAGTAATAAATTCAAATTGCAGAATTATCTACACTTTATCTCTTTGTACTTTTAATTGCTAGGGATACGTTGAAGTACACGACGACAATAAATGCTGCCCTGAGTGCGTTCCTGATTGTTATGCATACCCTTGCAACTCCCACGAATGCATCCCTATAGAGTGGCTTTGCGACGGGGATGAGGACTGCCCCAATGGGATTGATGAAAGAAATTGTGGTGCGTATGACACAGAGTTCACGAATACTTGGTGTCCGCAACCAAGGCAGAGTTGATTTAAAGAAAGAAAAACAAAAAGATGGCAAGTGATACCTAGGCACAAGAAGGCTGAGAATGGAGAGAATGGAACAAAGCAAAATCCTCCACTAAATTATCACATAATAGATGATCTACATGTTATTTGTCAAGTCTCATTAATTCTACATTGTTTCATCTAAACAGAATGTACAGAAAGTAACGTTGTATATCTCCTCCAGTAATCCTAGTGGATCACAAAAATTGTGCAAGCAAATACCTCCAGTTTCCAACACAAAATATCAACTGGTAATAATGGTAACTCACATGGTTTTAAAAATGGGCATGTCTCTGGGATCTCACCAATAGCAAATAAGCTCAAGTAAAAACCATCCCCGAGCTGGAGGTGTTCTCTTTGGAACCATGCAGGCTATACAGACTGCCTTTTGAGAGTTTATGTTTACGAATCGGCAGTATTTGCCTTTACCAGTTTTTTGACACATTGTATCCACTTCTGTCACTGTGAAAACAAGAGGTCCATAAGCATGAAACAAAGCCACATTTTGTGTTTTACAAAACTAATACCTTTTTTCCTCTGTTACACAGGAACAACCGCTCCTCCCTATACCACGCCAATGTTTACAACAGTTGGTAAGCCTGTCATTTTTTTGGAATGATTTCATCCAAGTGGGCCCAATAGTAAAAAAAAAGCCGGTGAACTTAACTTATAATAACCTTACAGGCTTTGTGGCTAGACTGCAACCCTACCTGATTTCTCCAATTGATAGGGGGGCACACATTCATGAGATACAAGTGCATTTGGAAAATCACAGCACACTGTCCGTCAAAGAGGTATTTCCTGCATACCAACTGTGTTCCAGCGTGGTGCTACCTCAGTAATAGATTCTAACACTGGTTGCCTGATCAGTTCATGTAAAGAAGACAAGGCACAATACATGTCCGACTATATCCTTCAGTCCTCAGTTATATTGCTGTATGTTGTCAGCATGGCATGGCCTCGATTTTGTTTTGGGGGGGCCACTTTCTTTCCAAGGGAAAATTTTTTGTGGGGGATGTCAAGGCACACATCAGCTTATTGGCTGGAGGAGGTTAAATATATAATCAAATTAAGACTAAAGAAAATGAAGAAAGCCCATTTCCTGTGTAAATATATGAAATCACACGTGACAGTGTGGCAATTGAAATTTTGGGGGAAAAAATTTACAAAATGTTGGTATTTATTTTCTGAATATTTAGAAAAGCTTTTTTCATATAAACTTTTGATTTCTTTCATCATCTCGTGTATTGTATTGAAGATGTACACATACATGTACATACGAGTACCCATACAGATCAATGCAATAAAGTTATCAGCGTATATATTTTACTTTTCTGTGTACTTGGAAAATTCTCTTTTCAGAGGCAACAACAACTGTTCCAACTACAGCTGTTCCAACGACTCCCTTTCCAACAACAATAGGTGCGATTTTATTCAGACATGTCTCACTTGGCACATAATTTAACATATGGGATCAAATGTGGCAGGAAGGGTTGTTAATAAGAAACATACTTTTAATTTTTATTTTTGTTTTATTTTATTACACTTTTCCACTGGCTGTTGAACCAAAAATTTAATATTGAAAGTTAAAAACAAGTACATAAAACGACAACAACAAACAGATGACTGATGCAAAAAAGAATATGCCCAAAAAAGTGAATGGCAAAATGGAATGGGTGACCAGGACCTCTACAGAGCCATCCTACCACATGGCAATGGCCTCCACAAAATATGAAGTGGAAAAGACAGTTGGAAAATGAAAAGGAAAATAAGAAAAGTGGGAATTTGTTAATATCTGCAGTCTGCTTCAGTCCAGTTAAAATGTACAATCTCAAGAGTTCCATGTTTTCATATTTAAAAAGAAAAATTATTTTCTTCATTTCAACAGAGACAACCACATTACCACCACGTGAGTATTGCTCATTTTCAAATTTGTCAACATTTTTTGAGGCTGTGGTAGGAAACATTTGAGGAACATATTATTCAGTTAATATTCATATTGTGTACACATTGTGAGTACAGTTTCCAACAGCAATATTGATTGTTACTTTAACATTTCCTTCAACTAATTATGTAGTGTAATTTTGACAGGATGGAATATCACCTGTGTACAAGATTTGAGCCTAATCTATTTTGTAAGATTTGTCCATAGATGGCACAATCGAAAACTGATCTAGTAGCAGACATCTGGGAGTGGATTTTTTTTTCCTTTTTTTTTTGGAGGGGGACCAGAAAATCGAGGATTTCTCAGTGCAATCTTTAGTGCCTTTTTTTTGGGGGGGGGGGAAATTTGGGGACTTTTAAGCATTTTGGAAGGTAACAAAAATCTACGAATGACCCCCAAAACAAACATTTAAAAACAAGAGTTTAACAGAACTGTTATATAGAAGCAGAAACTTACAGGTATGATAGGTACTTCACTAATATTTCCAATCTGTTTGTGATTCTTGATGTTATTATAATAATCTCTCTCGTGTGTAAGGTTTTTGGCAAGGTCAGTGGCTTATCCCGCAGGGGGAAGCAGGGGGCAATTTGTCCCCTTTTCCCGAAGACATGCGTGCCAATTTTGTGTCAGTGCATGCATATGGATAGACCCTCGCTGTGTGTTGGGGGAGTTTGTCATTGTTAGCTAAACCAGAATTGAGTTGTAGGGGCATTTCTCTCACCCCACCAAGTGTCTGGTCCCCACAAAATTTGTGTATTGACAAGTATATATTCCCAAAACCACAGACTAAGCATCTGTGTGTGGGTGTGTGTGTGTACGAGGTTGTTTTGGCATTCAATTGGGGACTCTGAACAATAAGGTCCCTGATTGACAACTGTGTACAAAGCATATGGGTGGTCTTCTAAAAAAGTTAGAGTACAAACAAAAGAGGAACAATAGGGGGTCCCCAGTTGCAGGCAAATGCACACTTGCTGGTGTGCATGTTGAAAGCATCAGCATTTAGAGAATTGCCTCCAAAATTCTTTCGCTAATGACACAATTGAACTTTGTTGTTAGAAATATGTTTCACTGTAGACCCTCCTGCTTGATTTAAGTCCTGGGTATGCCACTATCAATGGTCATTGAATGGAGAGCAATGTAATGGTTCCCTATTTTTTTCCATTCCATTCAAAGATTGTCCTGATGGCCAGGAGGAAAGCGATTGCTCGTACCTGTGTCGAAAACAAGCATGTAATGACGAAAGTTGTTACAGTACTAAAGTGGGCTCGGGCAGCAGCTCCGTGTGCTGTGAGTGCATGAACAACACTGTGTTTAACGGCGTCGAATGTGTCCCACCAGAAAAATGCCCTTGCCGTGACGAGAATGGAGATCTGCACGATGTAGGTCTATTTATCAAACGCATCATACAATTGGAATTATTAATTCATTTGTAGTGGCCACTGCCCAAATTGTACGTGATTTAAAATATATACCAAAATTAAGATATAACACTTACAATATCTAAAAACATTACATAGTAGTAAACCAATGAAATTGACACAAGAATTGAAAACAAAATGTATGTGAAAATTAAAAGAAAAAGCTAACACTTAATTTTAATTGATAATACAACATGAGAGAAGAATGTCAAGTTTGTTTAGCAAATCTGCTCATTACTGTGGGCCAGCGTATGCCTGCTCCTGCCCCAGAAGGTTGCTTCATCTTTGCAGGATGATGACAAGAACAGTCCTCACTTACGAATGTGGACCACCTTAAGACATGTACCTCTCACACCTCCCTCACCACACTGCCTGCCCCCAAATGGTAGAGTGCAGTTGGATACATTCTGAAGCTGCAAAGTCTGAAATTGGTTGCCAAGATCACTGCATGTCTCAAGCGTGGCTTTGACTAGATTGCTGTAATGGTCTATTGCCCTCTGCTAAGATATAAGATGTAGAGCTCATTAATAAAATTGGCAGGCATTAATGTAGTATTTTATGTTAAAGTACCCCCAAGCGCATAACAAAACACAAAATTGGTGCAAAGGAAAACATTTATCACGAGATTGATAATCTTAGGTCAACAAATTTGATTAAAAAGTACAGATGAAACAGTGAAATCAAATGAGAGTAACATTGAAAACGCAAAGTCATATATTCAAAGGGGAGAAATGATACAAAATATACATCTGACCACAGAACAGGAAATGTTGGCACCTCAAAGACAGCCATCCGGAATCATCATATGGAACCTTCCATGGAAATACAGCTGGATGACACATTGCAAGAGTTCTCACTTCCATGCACTGTGTGTTCTTTTGAAAGGATTGAAAATTTTTCCAGTTTCCATTCCCCCGAATTTGTTGCGAAACCTGCTTTAGAAAAGTAGGGTGGGCTGTATTCTTAATCACGCTAATTGCAATGATTGGCAGTTTTACAGTTTGAAGGTTTTATGTGTTTGTTTTGGATCACTTCACACCCTGTTTACAAACCCTGTCAGACTCTTCTAAAAAATGGTGTTTTGTAAGTAAACAGTTCAATGTTTTCCCTGCTAAATTCAACATTTTAGGACATGATATTGCTTTCTGATGGCTGGTGTATCACTGCAGGGAAAAATCAGTGATGTCTGTCTGTAGAACTCTTACCTTTGTGATTGTTGTTATTTATTGTCAAAGCATGTATTATTATTTGTTTTAGCCAAACGAGGAATGGCAGGGGAATGGACATTGTCAGAAGTGCAGATGTGTATCAAATCAAATTCTGTGCTATACTGACACCACCTCTCCGGGATGCGTGCCAACAACCTCACAGCCCACAACGCCATTGCCTCCGGCCCCAACAACAAGTAAGCATTCGAGCACATTTGCTGTAAAAGTTCAGTTTTCATTGATGAAGGTTTTTCTGTTCCAATGGTAAATCAAAATAATTCACTTAAAAAAGCTGTTGAGTATTTGCTTTCTTTAACATTCATATCAGTTATGTATTGGTCAATAAAATGAAACTGACAGACTTTTGTGTATTCTTACATCTACAGCGTTCCGGACTACAAGTGTTTCCATAACGACCGGTGAAGTGACCACTACAGAGGTCATTTCCACCATTACTCCAGGTGAGAAACTTGACTTCCTTGTGTTACATCTAATTCTAGCCAGAACGATGGTGCCTTGAAAAACATCAGTGTTGTAATCAGATATTGTCAAAGCATTGTCATTTACAAAAGTGATTAACGATCACGCACTTTGGTACAAGGAGATCCTATCCGCCCTGAGTTGAAGTGCACCCTCATCGGCGAAAGAAAGACAGACTGGTACTTATATCTTGTGTTCAGCATACACGCAAAGACCATACACTACAGAGTGAATTCATTGTGCATACCCGGTATGCTTTACGTCAAACACACAAAATAATATCACTGACTTTGTGTGTAAGGCATTCAGATCATTTTGAGTTAATTACAAAGTGGCTTCATTTATTGGCTATAAACAGGTATTTTGATTGATTCTTCTCGATAAGGTCTGTCTCAATTCCTCCCCATTTGTCTCCCATAATACCACCTCTCTAGCGTATTGCTACGATGACATGAACACCATACCTGATCTGATTGTAAGGTATTATGACTCCATCACCGGTTTGGAGGTGCCGAAAGACCAGCCTTGGGCATCTGAGGGGGAAAACAAAACTTCTCTGATCATCACCTTCTCTGAGCCCACGCGGATAAACCAACTGGAGTTCACCACCACCTCTGGCAGAAATGTGAGGGTTAAGATTGGGGTAGCATTTCAACTTCATCTGGACCCCACCGTGGTGGATACATATCTATTTAATGGACAGCCTCAGTCATTAAACTCAGGGGAGAGACTTAATATACCGACTGAGCCAGATGTGACCAACGTTTACTCTATCCGGTTGATATTCCACACTACTGACTCCCAGTTAATAAAAGTGTTTGGTTGCAAGGAGAGAGGTAAGCCATGCCAGTTTGACCAGCAGTATTGCAGTATTGTTTGTTGTTTGTAAAGTACACTTCTGTACAAAACTTGTATGCTTGGAATGCAAGTAATTAATTTAAACTGTTCCAACTGCATGTATTCCTGGCTTCCATTTTTTTTCTGCTCCTGATGTATTTTACTTACACCCCAATGTGTTTAAAGTGTGCAATTGGAATATGCACTTTGACTGATCACATACAGCCCAAGTGTCTTCAAATTTTTTCTGTACTTATGTGAAATTAGACCATATGGCTAAGACTGTAATGTTTCTGTCAAAGTAAAAAAAAAAGCAAAAAGTGTGCTTCGTTTGGAACTTTTATTCTCTGTAATGCAAACACTTGGTCTGCTGGCTTGTCAGCTGTTGTGCTGTTTTTGTATGGCTGCTACATGTTGACGCCAATTTCACTCATTGTAAACTCTTTTACAATCTTTATTAGTTGCAACAACAACTGTATCAACAACAAGTGGATCTACAAGTGTCACAGGTACATGTATGTGATTTCTCTGGATTTTTTCCAGATGTCAGAATTTTTTATCCTTGATGAGGCCTCAGTCTGGGTTTTTACAGTTTGCTGCACTTCCCACAAAATTTTCATGTGCAAGATCCACATATAACCCATACCTTGTTAGCTGTCAAAAGCCCAGATAAGTCATAGTATTTTACAGTCGATGCTACACCTCTGTTGAGTGTTTTTTTTCATTTTCTGATCTTACCCTTGCTGTCAGTTAAAGTCTGTATATCACTGACAACTGGAGTTATTTGGAAAAATTTCACTTATCCAGTGATGAACTTACAATTACAAAACAAAACTGTCCCTGTAATTTAGGAACCTGTAAGTTAAGAGTAGCATTTTATGAAGAAGTTTACCTGTTTGAAAATACTGGTTAGCTGATGTGAAGTAACCAACACAAACATGACTGCTAAGCATGCAACTCAAGCCGAGTTTTCCTCTGTTGAGCAGTAACTCAGGTCAAATGCATCTGAAACAAGGCAGAAATATGTGTGGTATACCTCACACATTTCTACTGAAATTTGGTGATGGTAAAATGTCGGCATGCCTTGGAATTTGTCACTTGTTTGCTTTTGTGGTGGTAACATTATCTTTGCATTAATTACATCAGAGGCTGATTGCCACATGAAGTGCATATGCGACCTGGATTGCGAAGGAAAACTTGATGACGACCAGTGTCCCTACGAGGTACCAGAGCATTGCTATGGCTGTGCTTGCCCAAATGATACACGACCTTGGGGTGCCTATTGCATTCGACCCCCTGATCGAGAGAAGTGCATGACAACATCCCAAACCGAGACCACAACTGTGCTGAGGACTGCAACTGGTAAGACCTTCCACAACCAACAAGGGTCTCATGTTTTTTCCTCTTAATGATGAAAAGTGGACCAAACAAATGGCTGAACTTTAAGATATGGAGATTAACGCAGTGCCTGGTAGTAATATAATCTACCATGGAACATGACTGGAAATAAGTTTGCATGCTGAAGGGGAATTTAATATCTTTACATTCTTTTCAACCCTTGTTCCTTAAAGGAATCAGCTTGTACTGTTTTGATTCTTTCACGCAGAAGTGACAACAGAAGAGATTACACTCGCTCCAACAACTGAAGTGACAACAGGTAGAATGAAAGAAAGGGTCTGAAGGCAACAAACCTTCAAAGGGTCCATGCACTTCAATTTTCCTAAGTACTACCCTTGCAATGCACCTTTACGGCTTAACCTCATTTTTATACTCTTGTTTTGCTGTCAGAAAACCTCAGTGATATGTTGATTTCTGCACCAAAAATTGCTGGAAGTGTTCCTCTTTTGAAATTCTAAATTTCCTTTCCTTGCATTGCCTTAAATACAGTTGCATTCTTTTCGTTTTCAACTTTTGCTTCTCCATGCCTTAAATGATCAGCTTGTGTTTTTTTTTCCACGCAGAAGTGACAACAGAAGAGACTACACTCGCTCCAACAACTGAAGTGACAACAGGTAGAATGAAAGAAAGGGACTGAAGGCAACAGACCTTCAAATTGTCCACCCACTTCAGTTTTCATAAATAGTATCCTTGAAGATGCATCTTTATGTCTCCACCTCATTTTTATATTTTTTTGTTTCTATTTATGAGGTGTTTGATTGGGTGCCTCTTTGGAATTTATGATGAGGTTTTTCCTATTTTCCTATTCATGAGGAAAACTGTGGTGTTATCCTGAGAAGAAAACCTCAATGATACAATGATTTGTGCACCAAAAGTTGCTGGAAATTTTCTTCTTTTGATAGCCTAAATTTTTTTTCCTTCCTTCCTTGGGAAATAAGTTAAAAGTTTCATAGACCATGAATTTTATTTTTATTCAAGTCTAGGTGCATGAAGAACAGATTCCTCCAGTAAGAAAATTACAGTAAGGAGAGAAAGGTCACATAACTCAAAATTTATTACATTTTAGTGTAGTCTATTTCTTCCGTTCTTCATTTGGAAAACTTTGATGATTTTTCGTTTGTTCCTCTTGTAATCAATCAGCTGCTCCAACCACCATAGAAGTGACAACACCTGCTACTGCAACTACTACACCAAGTAAGCCGTGGCAAAATGTTCACGTCACCTTGAAAGTTCATATAGGGTTGCTGTGTGAATATTCAGTCCACAGAACTCGAAGTCCACTTATTATCCTCAATTTCAAACACTTTAACCCCAACAGAGCTATTTTTTCCAATGTCATTGAAATGCATAGTATGAGCCTTCATTGGTTTTTCAGGTCTGTCTTGGCAATTGGTGTCTTGTTACTGAACACCACAATTATGAAAATCACACATACTTTAACTTTTCCCATTGCATATATGCTACTTGCCATTACTTGCAGGCCATATTTCAAAAAATCAAGTCTGGAACAGCCATGTTTGGCTGTTATATGGTGCCAAAAAAAATGGCTCTTTTAGAGTTCTTTGCTTGCGTTTGCTCAGTTTGATGGAAAGCATCTCGGATCAGAATTGTGCTGGTTGAGTCATGCATTACTTAAAATAATTTCATTTTTCAGTGAACACTGTAAATTATTGATTCGCGAGATATTGGCTGGATAAGGTTTCTCATTTAAACAAAGATACTAAAAGTCACTTGGAAAAGATGTAAATTTCCGGGTTGTCATGGTCATGGAAAATCTTGAAAAATCCTGGGGGGAAAAAGGTGTAATGGAAAATCTTGGAAAAGTCATGGAAAATGGGGAAAAAAGTGTCTTTGAAACTTGCTGTCAGAGAAAAAGTCATGAGAAAGTCATGAAAATCTAGATCATGCAAGGGTTATTTTCCATAAGGTTCTTTTGATGTGGTAACGGAGTAATGATAAATATTTAGGCTATCCTTGTCGGTCTATGGTAGTTGCTCTGGCAATCTTCCAGATAATAATGTCAAACAGTATTTCTTTTGCAAATTGGCATTGTATGTCATAAGAGTCGGCATGATTTTGTCCTACAGAGTCCTGGAAATGTCATAGAATTAGGTTTCAGATTTCTGTGGAAGCCCCAAGTCTGTTTCAGTTTCAAAATTTTTCTGTTATGTTTGCTTTCTTTGCCACGTCAACCCTATCAAATTGAATACTGTCTCAGAGACAAATATGTGCCGCACCCAATGTAAAAATAACTGGCAGATAAATTAACCAGTGATTGCAGATGATAATCCATTATAAGTTTGTGCTTTCATCTGATCTTTTGTGCATTCTTTTTCAACCCCTGCAGTGGTCTGTGTTGATGATGTGGACAGCATCGACGGGCTGCTTGTCAAACGATACAGCTCCGATGACCCAGAGACAGAAATCCAACCAATGGAACCATGGCAGTCAGGAATAAACAACCCAAAATTCATCATGGAGTTCTCCAGAGCCACCCAGATCACCCAACTGGAGATAACCACAGCCACTGGACACCGGGTCCTGGTTAAGATCGGATTTTCCAAGAGCCCGGATCGCCCTCCGGTGTTTGACCACTACATGTATGGTGGCAGTGTTGTTTCATTAGACTCTGGTGAACGACTAACACTTCGGCCAGACCAGACTGATGTTCACTTCCTCCAACTCGAATTTTATACGGAGGAGTTACAAACTGTCAAGACCTATGGTTGCTTAATACTAGGTAAGCCATTCAGATTTCAGATTTTTTTTTCTGTAATAGGCAGAATGCAAGAATTGTGCTTGCAGTTGGCCATTATTCAAGTGGTCGTGGATATACATCCAGATTTCCCTCAAGTGTTCACAATCTTATATAGTCCCAAGCCACAATGCTGGCTACAGAAGAGATACTGTGAGCCCCTGGAGTGAGCTACCAGTATTTAACTGTTCAATTAACCATGGCTCATTTTTGATCAGTTCATGGCTGACCTTATGCCTTCCTAGTTCTCTCTGTATTAACGTTATTGCCAATTTGTAACTTGAAGACCGAAAATTTAGACAGTTTTGTAGATATCAGTGCCATATGAGTGAATATAAAGTGCACTTGATACTGGTCATAACAGTGTGCCAGCCAAAGGTTGACACAGAAAGGCTATTTTCACAGTGTACTATTAGAAAAAGTCAACAAAATATTCACTGGTTCGGTGCGGAAAATTCAATTGCTTCCAATCCGTGCTTCAGTAGAAGATTCATAAGTGCATGTATTTATAGAGTATCAGTTTCAATCAAGATTGTGTGTTTTTGCATGGCAGCAGAATGCTCCTTCCATACATTCACACTCAAAAACCTCATAAATATCCACGAATGAAAGCCCTATTTTTGTCAACTGTAAGATTGAAAAATGGCCGCTCCATGTCAACCACTCACAGTCTTGGTGGCACATCTTTTACATTCAACTTCTGCTGTAGTGCTGTGATTCTGCTGTTGATATTTTTTACTCTTTTCAATTTCATTTTCTACCAAAGGTACAACAACCGAAATGCCAGGTGAGTCCTTCCTGTTTCATTCCACTGGTCTCATAGTAGTCATGGTAGTGTGTCTTTTTGTGGTTGTTTAAAGGACATTAATGGCATGCAGTACCAAGGCCAAGTGACGTATAATGCAGGGCTGCCAACAGTTTCGGTATATGTTGATCCCAAGAATTGTTGTACATTTAGCTGCAGCTGTGGAAGACATTTCTCTGACATGAACTTACGTCCTACTCACGCAGAAGGAATATGACAATGCTGCCAGTATGATAAAACAGCCAGTCAATCGTTTTATTTTTTCACCAGAAATTAGCTTTCAAATTCACACCATGCTATGTTGTCAATACACCATCTGGACAGGACATAGAGGGGTTGGATTTACAATTCCATGTATTTCTTTTTTATTTCCTTTCTTGTGTGAGAGCTCTCATATTGGCTTGGAGTGTGGAGATAACTCATAGAGCTAAAAAAAAAAATTGAGTGCCAACTTCTCTTTCTCCTTGCAGAGAAAATTTGATGCTGTACTGGGTGCGGACATTTGAATCTATGTGCCTGCTTGTAGACCATTCGAAATCACATGGAATGAATGTTGAATTATTTATTCTAAATGCAGTGCACACGTGTGACAAATGTAAAACGTCAACACATCTTTTGAATAAGATGCACGTGTACAGAGCAATGGCATCTGTTTTTTTACATCCATTGCTGATTATTTCAAAATGATTGTTTCCCTAATATTTGGGCAAAGTTGTCCAATTTCGTCTGCATGTCTTTCGATGGCTGTCTTTCAATGAAGAAGTTCAGCTAAATTAAAAAAGTCATTCCCTTCATTCAGTCAGTGTTAAGTGAGTTGACGACTCCGGAGGCCTGGCTGTCCTGCACATCAGATACCGATAAAATCTGATTTAAAAAAGTCACTGCAAAATTCATTACAGCGCATATGCGCATGCAGTTTTATTGCCACAGAGCAAAATGAAATGTTCATTTACGGATTAGTTCAAGTTGTTTGTGTATTGACTTTGTGGACATATCGTTTTAGAATACAGATGTAGATACGCAAAGATCCGTACAAAAGCCATACTGATTTTGGAGGTTTCCATAGGTCTGTGCGCAAACATGGATGTGCCCAGCAGGCATCATTTTGTACTTGGGTCAGCAGAGCACTCTGGTTTTTATATATAGCTCTATGGGATAAGCACACACTCGATGTGTGAGACTTTTGCAGTCTTGTGTGATGGACAAATCACAGTGCCATCTACAAAACAGATTTTGCAAGCTATGGAAGTGGTCTACCAATATTTAAATGCTAAATTAACCCTGACTCGTTTTCGATAAATTTGTGATTCAAATGTGTCACCTCTAAAATGCCACACCACCTAAACTAATGTACCTGATTTTGTAATGGTAGTCTTATATTCAGTTGAGGGTTATGTTGCTCAATTTGAAGTTGCATGGTGCATTCTTACATGTACTTGCAATTCAGTAGTTTACTGTGTTCCTGTAAATGTCTTGCAGCTACGCTTTTAATTAGCCTTATTCACAAGTTGGCCATAGCCACCATACTGAATTGGAAGCGAGGTTTAATAATTTTGGAAACCTGAGAATGTAGTTGGAACCAATGAATTAAAAGTTCATTACACAGTAATGTCAATTTTTACGGATGAATAGATTCAATTTTGTGATTAATTACATCCAGATGTTATATCTAAAAGCCTCATTTGAAAAAAAAAGACGAAAGTGAGGCATGGAAACCAAAATAGTTTGGCATCCTATTCAACAATTGCATTTGGGGATGGGCTATTGAATCATCCCCACACACTTTTTAGTGGTGAGCAAAAGAAAATTAAATTGCGGAGTATTTTTCATACTTTCAACAACTAAAATGCATTCCATATCAATAAAAAAGGGAAAACAATTAAAAAGAGCCATAAATATGCCATTGTGAATACATATAAAAGATATCCATCAATGTCATGAACATTGACTCTATGTGGAGTCATCTGGTGTCAACCCCTCCCCCCTTTCAAACTTTCATGGAAGAGCAGGTCATCCCCCCACCTTTTCCCATTCCCCAACTCTCCAATTTCCAGCACAAATGTACACCAATGGATTAGAGAATGTGATATGAAAGTGGTTTCTTGGTGAATAAGGTCATCACGTGGGGACACGTTGAGCACAGTTAATGTAGTTATTCTTTCCTACCACTCCTTCAGGTGAAGAATGCCCTCCGAAACACCGATGCAACTGCACTGGTGACTGTGAGTGGAATAATGTGGACCCTACCTGTCCATACCCACCACCAGAGAACTGCATTAATTCGTGTTGTGAGGAAATCGATCTAACTATGTGCTTCCACAATTGCTCAGCCGGTTACATTCGAAGAGGGGACTATTACTGTGTTAAGAGGCCATTAACATGTACAACCCCACAGCCAACGACTACTGCTTTAATTACTCCCCCAGTAACTGCTCCCACCATAACTACTCCCACGGTAACTACTCCTATTGTAACTACTCCTGCCATGACTACTCCTGCCATAACAACTCCTGCCATGACTACTCCAGTGGTAACTACTCCTTCCATAACTACTCCTGCCATAACTACTCCCACGGTAACTACTCCTGTTGTAACTACTCCTGCCATAACTACTCCAGTGGTAACTACTCCTGCCATAACTACTCCAGTGGTAACTACTCCTGCCATAACTACTCCAGTGGTAACTACTCCTGCAGCAACTACACCTGCAGTAACTACTCCCATCATAACCACTCCTGTTGTCACTACTCCCGCCGTAACTACAGCAGGTACAACTGCCAGGCCAACCATCCCAACAACCCCAAGTAAGAACAACTATTTATCATTGTCATTAGAACCTCATCAGGGTAATTGTAGCAAAATTAGTCTAAAGCACGCACATCAGCAAATGAAATTTAACCCAAAGGTTCCAGAGGCCATACATGTAAATTACCTTGAGAAAACAGATGTAAAAACACAAGGTGTTGTTTGCTTTTCAATGGGGTAAGAGCTCACAAAAACATCCCTCTGCGTACCAGTGCCAGCATTTTTTGAGTCATAAGAAACATGAGGATTGATACTACACAAAAATATGTCACTTTATATCACATAATAAATATACTAAGCTTCACACTGACTTTGAAGTTACAGTATTTTTAGCAGTGGCATAAGTGGGTGAAGGGGGCCTGGGGGCCTGGACCCCCGCCCCCACCCCCCTTTTAATGTGTTCCCCCACCCACCCTACTCAAAACTTATAGAGGGAGAATATCTGGTGATAGTCTGCCATGATCAGTGTCTTCACTGAGACCAAACCCATTCTGCGCCCCCCTCCAGAAAATAAGACACTTTAGGATGGAAATATCATATAGCACTCTATATTTCAGCTACATGTACCATCTTCAAACTTTACATGTTTGTCAGCAATTTTAGTCGCTGTAACATTACCAAATTCAATGCCTTCAATAATCAGTACACAAAATTGACTTGAAACAAATTACCACAGCAGAAACTCCTCACTCAGCCTCATCCCTTTTCAGAAATTTGTGATGAGCGGTGCGTCTGCGACCTTGACTGCTTCGGCTTGGTGGAGGACTTGACTTGCCCAAACAGAGTGCCCGAGTACTGCCTGACTTGCACCGACTGTCCTGAGGGCACATATAAGAGCCAGACAAGAACATTTTGCGTGCGGCCCAAACCGATAGAGCTTTGTGTTACAACCCCCGAAGCCACAACCACACCCAGCCCTACAACTGTGGCACCGACTACCACGGCACCCACAACAGGTACAGACGTTCCAAAATGGATTACACTACAGCTCAAAACTGTACATACACTTGATGACTGCAAGTGTTTAATCACAATTTAAAAGACTTTGCCAATTGTTGCCAGCTTTTTATTGTCTTTACCTGATCAGCTAGTGCATCCACTTTGTTTACATGAACGTGCAAAGTATTAAAATGGAGCAGATTTGCTGATTGATTAGATGTAGAAAAGGATTTTTGCCACTCACCAGGAATAAATAAGGTCTCAAAAATTTAATTTAACACCTTCATTCAAAGGGTACTAAACTTCAACTTCATCTTTTTGAACTTGCACATTTCATGTTTGGTTTTTAGACAAGTTTTGCAGCAAAACATGTTTCAACCGTGGTTCAATTCTTCTTTGTGATCAATAGAGAGCTTTAAATACCGACTTAAACTGTGAGGAAATACTTGCCTTAAGAGTTTTCCATTATATACTCACTCTAATGTGTCTTTTTTAGTTTTAGTCCTGAATTAAATAAGTCTGAATTGTACGCCATGTCTCCTTACTCAAAAGTATTTCCTCACCCTTGAGATTTGTATGTCGCCTCATTGCATTTCCTTTGTGGTTTAATTAACAGAAGTAACCACCGAAGTAGTAACTACTGCTGCACCAACAACAGAAGTCACAACCACTGCCAAGCCAACAACTGCTGAGGAAGTCACGACAATCAGAACTACAACCCCTGAGGCAACTACAACGCAGAAAACCACAGTGCAAACCACAACAGGTTACATGCCACAACATTTCAGCAGTCCTGTCCACATTTCAGTATATCAGAGTGAATTTCAAAACCGGTTAGGTTTAATTGAACTGCTCCCATCTCTTTCATAACAGAGGAAGCCACGACAACCGTCGTAACAACACAGGTCACAACAACTGAAGCGACAACAGCTGCGCCTACAACAACAGAGGCCACAACAAAAGTTGTGACAACCACCACACCTGAGGTGACTACAACTGAGCTGACGACAAGAGCTATTACAACAACTGAAGTAACTACTACAGGTACAAAGAGTTGCTCATAATTGCCTTCAGAAATAATCTGTGGATAATATTTGATTAGTGGATTAATCTTGCCCTCTTTTTATCAACGATCCAAATGAGGAAACGTGCTCCGTTTTTGATATGTACAAGAAACAGCTCTGCTGAGAACTCTGTGATATATCAGTTGGCTTCAAAAGACAAGACATTTGAATCATTTGTGTTTAATCATTGACAGCCGCTCCAACAATGACTGAGGCCACAACTACTCGCTTGACAACAACTGAGGCACCAACCACCTCAGAACAGCCCACGACAAAAGTACAGGAAACGACTACTGTTGTTGTGACGACACCTGAGGTAACAAAAACAGTGGAGACAACAACTGGTATGTCAAATTGTCTTTGAAGATTGCTAGACTCTGTTGAATACATAATTGCGATAACCAGTTAAGTCAGTATAATACAACACTCTGTGAGCTGTATGAGGATCTAGTGTTAAGTAAGTGAACTCCCTTGGTCATTTCTTTTTTCACAATATCAAACCGTAAATTCTGGTTAAATACTAGTTCGTACTGCAAGTGAAGAGCACACAAAACATTTCAGTGAAATTTGCTTGAGTTGAAGCGTGTTCAATTTGTGCAAATTCACAACTTGACTTCTTGATCAGACCTCCAAATTTCGCATTAGTGTACACTTTTGCCCCCCCAAGCATGAACCAGCCTCACCTCTAATCTGAAGGGAAATGAATCAACTAAAATAAAGATTTCAATTTAATAAGGTCCCCCATTTTCTCTTCAGTCAAGTCTAGTCTGCATGCCCACATGCAGTGTCTCCACTGTAATTTGCTCCATCCAGCTGTATCGTCAAAATGGACAAATTTGTCTTCCTTTAAAAAATGAGGGGGGTCAAAATTATCTTATTTTTTGAAAGATTTTATAGTTGTGGATGTCCATCGAAACGATGACGTCTCCCTCCCAGTTGAATAGAGAGATTAAAAAAAAAAAAAAAAAAATTAGCAATGATGGTATGAGCTCCTCTGATGGCTCCTGTGGTGGCTATGTAGCCCAAACTCCGAAGCGCAGCACCTGCCACAGATGGGACAGGGAACACCATCGCCTGGAGGAAGCCCCTGGTACAGTCGCACATGGCGTTGGTAGCGTCGTTCCTCACGTACGCAGGTGCGTGTAGCCTCAAAGCGATCCACAGCCTCATGACTCGCAGTCCGCCACGTGTTTCGGTCTGCGGCCAGCTGCTCCAGGTGGGAAGGTTGAACCCCACACTTCTTCAGGGTGGCCTTGAGATGGTTCTTAAACCGCTTCTTCTGACCTCCAACACTGCGTTGACCAGTAGAAAGCTCACCAACTGCCGTTGAATAATGAGGGCCTCAACACTGACACAGCCTGCTGATTGGAGGATGGAGACGTGTGGAACACGGTCTGCCCAGGTCAGCCCGAGAATACGCTGAAGACAGCGAATGTGAAAAGCCTCAAGACATCTGATGTGGGCTCTCTAGATGGCCCAGGCCTCACAGCCATAGAGCAAGGTGGAGATACAGATAGCCTTATAAACAGCAACCTTTGTAGAGATGGTTATACCCCAGTTGAGAAACACTCAGTGTGACAGCCGGCCAAAGGCACTGGAAGCTTTCTGTAACCTGTTTTGGATTTCCTCATCAATACTGCAGGATGAGCTCAGGATACTTCCAAGGTAGACAAAGCTGTCGACTTTGTTGATGTTCTCCAATCTAACCCGAAATTGCATATCAGGAGGGAGGCCTTCACAGGACACACACTGGTGGAGCACTTCCGTCTTCCTGGCATTGATGACGAGTCCAGAGCTGGTGTATGTGTCGAACATGGTGTCAAGGATCCTTTGGAGACCCGCTGCTGAGTGGCTGACAAAGGCGGCATCATCAGCATATTGCAGATCAAAGATTTTCTTAGACCGATTCTTAGTCTTGGCTAGCAGTCGTCACAAGTTAAAGAAGCCACCATCGAGCCGATACCGGAAGGTTATGCCGTCATTGAGATGGAGCTGGAGTCGGGGAAAGGAGAGTCACCGCAACCATGTAGATGTTGAAAAGGACTGGTGCAAAGACACACTCCTGTTTCACTCCAACTTTGACCTCAAAGGGCACCGATTGCAGGGCCCCAACAACCACACAAGCAAATATTCCAGAGTCCTGAAGGATCTTTAGAAACATTGGGGGACATCCGCATTTGGTGAGGATGGTCCAGAGACGGCTTCTGTTGATGGTGTCAAAAGCCTTGGTGAGGTCAACGAAAGCGGTAAGAAGGTAAGGTACGGTAAGGTAAGATGGTAAGGTCGTGATCAGCACATAGGTTGAGGAGCCAGAGTCCGTTGGAGTTGGTAGAACCGACCCCATGCCTGCCGATGAGGCCCCTTCCAGACAGTATAATTTGAGCCGACCCGAGCGTTGAAATCGCCGAGAAGGATAATTTTGTCAGTCGGCGGGATGGCACAGAGTGTCAGGTCAAGAAGGTCCAAGAACTTATCCTTTATGACTTTAGGAGAACAAGGAGAACAAAGGGTGGGGGCATAGGCACTGATAATGGTAACATGTCTTCGAGCTGCCAAGGGGACACGGAGAGTCATGAGCTGCTCACTCAAGTTAACAGGCACCTCTGGCAAATGGTTAAAGAGGGATGTCATGATGGCGAACCCCACACGATGGATTCTGGCATTCTGGCGGCCTCCTCTGGGAGCCCTCTCCAAAAGAAGGTATGCCTCTCACCAACCTCGGTTGTAGCATCTGAGCCCAGCTGCGATGAGGGCTTTGCACCGTGGTGGGCGTTCACTGGCTGTGGGCACCGTGGAGTCCATCATTGTGTGAATGTTCCAAGTTGCGATCTGACAACGATATACCGGCAGAAGCCGGCAAGGAGTAGTATTTTGTTGATTTATTTTGTTTCAGCCGCAAGAGGGATGTCCTGGCGGGTGCAACTACCCGCCCAGGAAGAGGCAGAGCAGACGATTTTTAGGCCATCTTTTCCAGGCCCGTCCTCACAGAGAGGCGAGCAACGCGGACCCTAATAAGGGCTGCTCGGTCGCACAGGCAGCTGCCGAATGGGGGCGCCGCTCCATCCCGGCCCCAGACGACCATCACACCTGTGCCGCCATACGTGCAGTGGGCAGGCTAGGGGCTGCTCGTCTCATCCAGGACCTGCCCCTGTCACTTGCCCAACCGTCGCGGTAGGACTTATGGAAAATAAAAGGGGGAAAAAAATCTGCGCAATGAGGAGATTAAGGTGATGGAAAGGAGGCGCAGTCCTCAGCACCACCGACTTGACCACCTACAGCTGGTACCGATGGCATGACTAAGTCAGGACGACCGGTGGCTGGAGGGGCTGCAGGGAGTGGCCGTTATCTTCACAACACCTGTAGAACTACCTTAACGAGTACTACCTGCCCAGGTTTGAAATCGGGGTTGTCCTTCTCCTGGGCAGACTGCCGACCTAGGCTAACGAGTTCAGCCTACCCGGGTTTGTGATCTGAGTTGTCCCTCTCCTAGGTGGACTGGCAGCCAAGCCTACGAGCTCCACCTACCCAGAGCACCTGATTATAGCGCCAGAAACACACTGACAATCTCTGCCATTCAGTAAAAAACAGGGTTGGCATGAGAAGCCAGACAGTAGGATTTGGTTAGGAGAGGCTAATGTTGAGACGCCGTGCTATACAATGGGATTTTTCAGGGGGAGAGGAGCTGCTCACTTCTCCAATCCACCCCAGAACATCCTAACCCATTTAACCCCAATATGAACGTGAATATGAGCATGCATTACACATGTGCCACCCATGTCCCGTACGGCAAATTCTCATGTTTTGTAATTCTTTATTAGCCAGCTTTTTAAATTGATTTGTGATACCAATTTCCAGCTGCCACTACTGAGGTAGAAACCACCAGAGAAGTAACATCAATTACGACAACACGGGCTGCTACAACCGTTCCTTCAACAACAACCAAAGCAACAACAACTGAGGAAGCTACAACTTCAGTGGTTATCACAACGACACTGGCAGCAACCACCACTGAGCAGACAACAACGTCCGTTATAACAAGAGCTCCAACAACTACAGGTGAGCAACCTTCAGTCTTTTGAAATAAAGCTAGATGACATGATGCTAAAGGGCACACTGGCTTATTTGAAAGTATCAGTTAAGTTTTTGGTGGAGGATAACATCAAGTTCAGCAGAAAGTTGTCAGTGTATTTTCAAGCAGTAACTTCCTTTTTGCAGAAGCCCCAACAACAACCAAGAGAACAACAATCAGACGGACAACTACTGAGGCACCTACAACTACTCTTCAACCAACGGCCACTGCTCAGCCAACAACCACTGAGGCACCTACAACCACTGCTCAGCCAACAACCACTGAGGCCCCTACAACCACAGCTCAGCCAACAACCACTGAGGCACCTACAACCATTGCTCAGCCAACAACCACTGAGGTACCTAAAACCACTGCTCTGCCAACAACCACTGAAGCACCTACAGCCACTGCTCAGCCAACAACCACTGAGGCACCTACAACCACTGCTCAGCCAACAACCACTGAAGAAGTTACTACCAAAGTTGTTACCACCACTCCTGAGGAAATCACAACAGAGACAACCACAATGCAAGCCACCACTGGTAACAAATGGCTGTTCTCGTCAAACATTTCACTTGCCTGTTTACATTACTTTGCATTGCCTACATGGGTTTGGACAATCCTTTGTTTTTATGTAGTGAAGGAAACTTTGCAAATCTATTCATTTTTCTTGAAGTTAATGAACACTATTTGTTGTCTGAAGTTTTGTCACTGGTTTCCAAAGGGTTCCTCTTCCTTGTGCTATAAACCTGACCTACAGTGACTTTAAAACTGATCAGAGAAAGGACTCTTGTGTGGACCTGGATCGTCCACACTAGGTTTACGTGCGTGTTGTCACCTGTTTGTTCTTACATGTAGGTCCAAAGATTCCAAGGTTGGTCCACAAAAATGTTGCCTAAAAATTTTCTTACCCCACAGTAACATCATAGGTTTAATGTGAGTGGTCAGTTTGATTTAATCCTATCGGAGATTAATGACTGATTTACTTTTATTGGAAACTTCAACTGAAAGTACTTATAGACATCCTAGATACTCTATTTATTGCGGTTACTATTTATGCAACTACTTGAGCAAATTTTCATTCCATGTAATGCCATGCAGTTGCCCCAACAACTGAGGAAGCAACAACTACAGTTGTCACAACCACTCGGACTACAAAAGCACCCACAACTCCTGCCGTACCTACAACAACTGAGGTTGTGACTACCACAGTTGTGCAGACAACTACACCAAAGGGAACAACCACAGAAGAAACAACTATGGTGAGGATCACCACACAGGCTACAACCACAGGTATGTTATGTTTGAGTTTCAAAATTTCATGTCTGTAAATGAAGCTGGCGAATTTGCTTTTCAAAACCACAAAAATAAGCAAAAACTTGAAGTCGATACTTGCATTATCACAGAGTTAATACTCATAGAAAACCTTGTTAAACTACCCTTTGATAATCAGTGGTTTCATTCAAACAAAGTGGATCTTAGTTGTGCTTATTTTTGGAACATGGGAAGTGTTGCAAGCACATGCAAAGGAAAGCAAAGGAAAGTGTTGCAACATCGTAACAGAGTGTCCAGATTTTTTTATGTGCTAAGTCTGTTTCAGTGATCTCAGGTATAAAGTGCATGCCAACAAATGCGACTTTTATTCCCTTAGTTCATAGCCAAGAGTCACTTTCTTCCAGAATTGCCAACCACGACTGAAAGGACAACTACTCGTGTAACGACAACTGCAGCACCCACCACCACTGCTCCACTGACAACCACTGAAGAGCTTACCACAGCAGTTGTGACCACCACACCTGAGGCAACCACAACGGAGACTGTCACAGTTCAAACAACCACTGGTAGAGTTGTATTTGTCTTAGAGCACGATTTCATTCCCACAGATGTGTATGTAATGGTTTGTGTATGGTGAGCCAGCTGTAATGATAAATGCAAATCTTTAAAATCCCTGCAGACAGGGTTTACAAATGTGTTTCTAAACAGTTGTTGATTCAAAATCTGATGCGGATAACTTATAAAATGTTGTTTAACGTGCAAGTGGAATAGAGTTTGAGTTAGTAAACTGCCCTCTACCATCTAGCTCTGCATGTTTGAAGGGTATTTGTTTAGAAAGTCTTAAGCATTTTTTTAAATTTTCATTCCTAAAAGCCTCATACTTTTTTACTCTTTCCTGTATGTTGATTGTCCATCACTTCAGGATGTTGCACAAGACAAGATAAAAACAGATAAACCAGACTGACTTTAACTCATTCAATAAATATGAATTTTCCACTTATTTTCCTTCTTCACCGCACGTGAATTTGTAGATAAGGCCTGCCAACTTTTTTCTCTATTTATTGTGAACAGTAGCTCCAACCACTAAGAAAGCAACAACTACAGTTGTCACAACTGCACAAACTACAACAGTGCCAACCTCAACAGCTGCCCCCACAACCACTGAGGTAGTTACTACCACTGTTGTACAAACCACCACTCCAGTGGCAACAACTACAGAGGAAACAACCACAATGAGAACCACCACGGAGGCTACAACAACAGGTAATTTACATCCAAGTGATGAAATTTTAAACCAATTTCTAACGTAGAGACTGTAGAGAGGAAAATGAGAACAATTTCAAACTTCAGGTTGATTTCACTGTAATTAATAGCAGAAATGTATGATTTTCAGAATTTCCAACAACTGAAAGAACAACTACTCGTCTAACAACTACCAAGGCACCTACCACAACTGCTCCGCCTACAACCACTGAAGAGGTTACCACAGTAGTTGTGACCACTACACCTGAGGCAACCACAACAGAGACAACCACAGTTCACACAACTACAGGTACATTTGCTTTCACCTTATACCAAATAATCTTCCCACAGATCTTCGTGTATATGGTGAACCAGGTTTTACATTAAATCCGTGTAGACAAGGTTTAAAAATATCTCCTAATTTCGTAATTCAATATATCAGGCAGATTCATCATACTTTCTTGAAATATTTATTGTGAGCAGTGGCTCCGACGACTGAGGAGTCAACAACTAAAGTTGTCACAACTACACAAACTACGACAGCACCAACGACGACTGCAGCCCCCACAACCACTGAGATTGTTACTACTACTGTTGTACAAACCACCACTCCAGTGGCAACAACTACGGAAGAAACAACCTCAGTGAGAACCACCACGGAGGCTACAACAACAGGTAATTTACATCCAAGTGATGGAATTTTAAACCAATTTCTTATATAGGGACTGATGAAGTCGTATATCAACTTCTTACCTGGGACTGTATTGAAGGGAATTGGGAAGATTTTAGAATTCATGTTTGCTTAATATAAAATCTTTGGTATCACTGTAATTAATGGCAGAACTTTTAATTCTTAGAATTCCCAACATCAACTGAAAGAACAACAACTCGCCTTACAACCACTGAGGCACCTACCACCACTACTCCACCTACAACCACCGAAGAGGTTACCACAGCAGTCGTGACCACCACACCTGAGGCAACCACAATGGAGACAACCACAGTTCAGACTACCACCGGTATGGTTGCCATTGTCTTAGGGAGCGTCTCAAAAGTCGGAACGCTTGGAATGTTCCTTTTGGGAGTAGGGGATGTTCCCGATGGGAACAACAGCTGTTCCCACTTGGAAAAATCCTTGTTCCCATTTGGAACAGGCGCTGTTCCTGAACAGAACATTCCATTTTTTTGTGTTCCTTTTTGGAATGCTGTCAACGATTGCTGAGCACACAAGTTTTGTTTTTCCCATTTGCAGTCAGTCAGTAATGCTTTTGCCTTCGTATGGTGTATTCTCTGTAAGTAAACTAACTCAGCATCCTTGATTATGTCAAAAGCAAGGTTTTTGCCCTGATACCGTATTAATTAAGATTCAGTAAATCTGGGATGTTATCTGCAAACTTTTCCAAAGATAAATCTTCAAATTTGAACCAAACCGCAGGCATTGCAGTACTAGACACAATACACTAGGCTGGAGTATATGATAGTGAGGGAATTATTATTAAGGTAAGCTTCTTTGTTCCTAGACTTGACAATTATTTGCCGACAGGATGCTTCAAATTTTTCTAGATTATGTCCAAAAAGACAAACGACATTGAACCTAACACTTCTTTCATATTCAGCACTGCAAGCATCAAACCTAAGTAAACCCTACACATTCAAAAAAACTAGAGAAATCGTCCTTTGATAAGAAATTTGCTCTGTGGAACACTGCCATTCTCTGGTAGAATGCACAGTGAACACAGTGGGAATGCCACTGTTCCTTGATGGAAAGCACAGAAAACACTGTTGGAACGCCCGTTTCCTGGCGGAGAGCACAGAGAACACAGTGGGAATGCCACTGTTCCCTGATGGAACACGTGTTTACATTTGTGAAGTATGATTAACTTGTTCCCTTTGAGAACGACTGAAATATTTGCCATATCATCGATATTGAACTTAGGAAATTCAAATAGAAAGGGTTATTTAAAATAAGACCTTGGAAGTTGCCAGGAAGTTGTGTATTTTGACATTCCCCCCTCATTACAAATGATTACTAAGTACCGGTACTGTAAAGCACAATGTTCATGGGTTTAATTATTTTCACGCGAACAGTAAAAAAAAAGCCTACAAGATGGAAATAATTTATTAAATCATTTTTAAACAATATTTACACAAGTAACTGACAGTAACTGACTCCACAGAGCACATACAAAAAATTAGACACAAATAACTACCTTTCAATTACTCTCCGGTATGCGCAATTTACAATGCTCTAGCATAGGGATGATGTGTGTTGTCGAGAGCCTCTCCCGGAATGTTTCTATTTCGTTTGCTTTGCATCTCAAATCAATATGATTGACTTTGAGTGTTCCGAGAAGGAATGCTGACGTCACAACACAACGTTCATGACAGAATAGCAGGGAACAACTCAGAACAACTAGCAGGAATACTGGCTGTTCCCATTTGGAACAGGCTGTGTTCCAGATGGGAACAACTTGTGTTCCCAAATGGAGCATTTCAATGGGAAAAAACACGTTCCAACTTTTGAGATGCTCCCTTATTACAAAATATTATTCCCAAAGAAGTTTTTCCAGACGCTGAACCAGCTGTAATGATAAAGACAAATCTTTTATACAAAAATCTTTGTGGACAGGGTTTAGAAATGTCTTTTCAGTTGGTGATTTGACATCTCAAGCAGATCAATGGCTTTATAATGTTTTCGTTTTAAATATTGATTGTGAACAGTGGCTCCAACAACTAAGGAGTCAACAACTACAGTTGTCATGACTACACAAACCACGACAGCACCAACCACAAGTGCTGCCCCTACAACCACTGAGGTTGCGACTACTACTGTTGTACACACCACCACTCCAGTGGCAACAACTACGGAAGAAACAACCACAGTGAGAACCACCACGGAGGCTACAACAACAGGTAATTTACATCCGAGTGATGAAATGGTATTCTGATTCAGCCTCTAACTTTTACATAATGTTGTAAAGAGAGAAATGAGGAGTATTCTAGAATTCAGCTTTGTTTAAGATGAAATCTTTAGTTCATTGCTATGAAAAGCAGAACTTTAATTTTTTATGAAAAACTGAAACAACTCAACAACTGAAAGAGCAACTTGCTTCACAACCACTTTATAATTCTTAGAATTGCCAACAACTACTGAAAGAACAACAACTCGCCTAACAACCACTGAGGCACCTACCACCACTGCTCCACCTACAACCACCGAAGAGGTTACCACAAAAGTTGTGACCACCACACCTGAGGCAACCACAACGGAAACTACCACAGTTCAGACAACCACTGGTACAGTTATGTTTGTTTTTAAACAAAACACAACTGTCACATTTGTGTGTTACTCAATATGATGAAATCGGCTGTAATAATAAAGACAAACCTTCCTTCATACGGAACACATATCCCTGTGAGGTCAGTTTATATAACCGGTGAAAAATGAGAAAAAGAAAAATGGATTGCTACAATAATGAACTGAAGTTGAAGGAACCAAAGGGCGAAAGTTGATGTATGTGGTTGTATTAAGTTCAATAACTCGAAAGATATTTATTTCTTCACTTCCAATTTGTAAGTTGATGCCCAAATTTTAGAAGGTTTTTATATGTATTAGAAATAATGAAGAAGTCAGAAAACTTTCCATCAAACAGTGGTTTAATATCACTTGCAAAATAATGTACTTTTGAAAAAAACAGCGGGTTACAATAACAGGACAAAACATGCCAATCTGCAACAATCAGTATAACGACAAATCCTAGACAAAATCACAAGTTTGCATGGCTTCCTTGAAATTAGGCACCTGTTGAGAATAAATGGTCAATAGTTACTGTGAAATTCACACAAGTCCACATACATTCAAAGTTAGTGTATCTGCTCATATAGAGACAAATACACGGATTGAAAAGTTCAACAAATTAACAAACAATCCTAATCGACACTAACATGCAGTTTCAGAAATTGCAAAACAACCAAACCGTCCTGCAGTCAAAGGTGTTTTTTACAGTCTTGTACCACAAGGAATTACTTGTCTTGTATTACAAGGGTAGACAGCAAAACTTTGGCAATATTTATCTATCAGGCTTCCCAAGCGATGGGCTATGATTCCAGCAGACAAGAACTTCTGAACAAAATTCTGTTATGTAATTGAGTGTTGGTAGTGAAATCCAAACCTAAAGAGTGTCCTCACGGCATGGTTGTTAGTATGGGACTAAAGCTGAAAGCACACACATGCTCTAATATGGAATCAGGCCTGAAAGGGGCTGACAAAGCAATAGGAATTTCTTTACACACAGGAACTTAGTCCTTCGACAGAAAATACTGTAAACTCAGGATTATGACTACGGATAAGTTGTCACAGCATGAACGCTTAGGTGACAGACTATTATACACATGTACACTAAAAATATAATAACAATGTTTTTCAAGGTTCAATCAACTACACCTCTGGGATGTTTGATTGCATTTTGCTTGGGAGTGAAATTTTTGAAAGGGGCCTGGAAACAATAATGAAAAGGCATTCACCGCGCTCAGGGGACAAGTTTTATTATAAGGGAAATTTCAACCAAGTTGTGGGGACATTTCTGTGTCCCCACAATGTTTTCAGTCCCTGGAAAATAGGTGAAATGTCGAGTGTATGTCCCTACAACTACGGTGTGGGAGTCTGTGAACCCTTCTTACCTGTCCCAAGCCCCTAGCTGGGTTTAACCAGACAAGTTAACAGCTGCCTCACAATACGTTTATTCCCCAGTAGTACAATAAAGATTTTTATACCATTGTAATAGATAGTGAATTTTTGTTGGTTGAGAATCGATCACGTATGTTTGCCACAAACACAGATGTACACCGGTCAGGAACACATGAGCAATTTACACCATGGTACACGAACACAAATGAGGTACCTCACAGGGTACAGCACCTTGATCTTCTGTTGAAAGTGTAGTGTCCACCATGTTATAATTTAGTAATGTGACCTCAGGTACAAGGTTGTAGCTACATGTACGCTGGTACTGCATGACGTTTGTTCTGGGATGTGCCGTGGGATACAGTGAAGCACTGTTTCTGCTATTAGATTGTTTGTCACCGTTCATCTGTTTTGTTTTTCTTTTTCTTTTTTAAATTACTGTGCCAATTTTGCTATCAGTTTCACATAATAATGGCAGCAGATGACCCCCAAGTTGCCTTTAAAGAAGAGGTTTTTCTCTCATTCCATAGACAAGATTAAAAGTTGGAATTTTGAATTGTACCATATCAACACCAACAAAAATGCAGAAGAAGTTTGCAGATTCTGCACAGCCACAGGAAGAGACCTATAGATTGAGACATTGGCAGTAACAGAACATCCTGCCTTAAGATTTTTTTCAGAAATATCAACAGAAAAGATGACAGTTCTTACTAATTATTCAATTTAGTTGAATTTATTCAGCTGAACACTATATTGTTGAAGACAGTTTTAGTTAAAATGCTTCCTTCTGTAATAAAATATGCTTCGCTTTCACAAAAGACAACAACTGTATAATGTTTATTAAATCATGTTCCACTCTTCAAAGTACATGTATGTGGGTGGGTCCTATAATTTGTTACCCACTGTCTGAACCCTCAGTCTTGCTCTTTAAATGTTCATTGTGAATAGTGGCTCCAACAACTGAGGAAGCAGCATCTACAATTGTCACAACTATACAAACTACGGAAGCACCAACCACCACTGCTGCACCCACAACCACTGAGGTAGTTACTACCACTGTTGTACAAACCACCACTCCAGTGGCAACAACTACGGAGGAAATAACCACAGTGAGAACCACCACTCAGGCTACAACAACAGGTAATTTACATCCGAGTGATCAAATTGTATTTTAATGCAGCCATGGGGATGCAAAGACTGTAGAGAGGAGAATGAGTAGCATTTTAGAATTATTTACAATGCAACCTTTGACTTCACTGCTGTTGATAGCAAAACTTTATATTTTTAGAATTTCCAACAACAACTGAAAGAACAACTACTCGCTTTACAACCACTGAGGCACCTACAACCACCATCCCACCAACAACCACTGGGGCACCAACAACTACTGCCCCACCAACAACCACTGAGGCACCTACAACCACTGCCCCTCCGACAACCACTGAGGCACCTACAACCACTGCCCCTCCGACAACCACCGAGGCACCTACAACCACTGCTCAGCCAACAACCACTAAGGCACCTACAACCATTGCCCCACCAAAAACCACTGGGGCACCTACAACCACAGCCCAGCCAACAACCACTGAGGCACCTACAACCACTGCCCCACCAAAAACCACCAAGGCACCTGCAACCACTGCCGTACCAACAACCAGTGAGGAAGTCACAGCAACTGTTGTGACTACTACTCCATCAGCTGTCACTACAGAAACAACTACTGTCCAAACAACCAGAGGTAAATGTTAAGTAATTAATTGAATCAAAATCACTTGTCACTCTTCTTTTCTAAAACTTTTAAAAGCACTGTGGAATAGTAGACATGTTACAGAATGCATTCATAATTGAGTGTATGGAAACAAGTGTATATATTTGGGCAACAATGTTCAAGACATTTCCAAGTGTTTCAAGGGTTCTAACTGTTAACTTGACATTGCAGCAAACCATTTTTGCATCTTTGGCCTTAAAGTGACATGTTTTTTTTGATGCTCTGTTTTTGTCATCTTTCCAAAGTGCACTTGTAAACATATCACCCCCTCTGCCTAAACCAGTCTTGTAACCTGTGATCATTGTATAGTTGCACCAACAACAGAAGAGACAACAACAACAACTGTCACAACGACGCAAACTACAACTGCACCAAGTGCTACTGCTACACCAACAAGTACTGAAGTTGTTACTACCTCTGTTGTGCAGACAACTACTCCAAAAGTGACAACCACAGAGGAAAGAACTACAGCAAGGATAACCACAGAAGCCACAACAGGTGAAACTTTCGTCAGCTTTTTTTTTTCAATGCGACGTTCTTAGTATTTGAAAACCGTGGGAAATAACCACCCAAGGTTGTCAAGAATCACTCTGAAATGTGGGTTGATGCTTAGTTTGAAGTTTTTCATGAAACGTTATAACTTTCAGAGGCCCGCACAACTACTGAACGGACAACAACACATGTGACAACTACAGAGGCACGTACCACCACTACTCCACCTACGACCACTGAGGAGGTCACTACAATAGTTGTGACTACCACTCCTTTAGAAACCACAACAGAAACAACCACAACACAAAGAACCACCGGTAACTTTTTTAAGTCAAACCAGTATGAAACATTTGATTGGTTGAAATGCACCTCATGAAAACTGTCTTTTCTTGCGGAATAATTGTTTTGCATTAAGTCAAACGTTAACTATCTTCTATAAAGCACAAATAATGGTATTAAGATTATTAGTGGATAAAAATTAACTTGTTTAGTAATGAGACTCCAAGTTTTGTCTCTTGCAATTTTAAAGTAACATGTTCATTCAAGCATAGGAATGAGAGAGAGATTTTTCCAAATGCCGCTCTTTCAAAAGTACCTTTTGCCTGACCCATTCTCGTTTTGCACAACTACTGTACAGTTGCACCAACCACTGAGGAAGCGACAACAACGGCCATCATAACCACTCAGACCACAAGAGCCCCAACCACCACGGCTGCACCTACGACCACTGAGGTTGTAACGACTACAGTTGTGCAGACAACCACTCCAAAGTCAACAACCACGGAGGAGACAACTACAGCAAAGACCACCACCGAGGCTACAACAACAGGTACTACCCTCTGTCGTTGGAAGTTCATTTTTTATTAGCCTTGACAGATTAAATGTGTTCGTATGAAATCTTCCAAATTTACAACACTTCAAACGTGAATTAAACATTCTAAACAATTGATATTGCAATGATCACAGCAAGTCTGCAGTGTCACCATGTCAGTCAATATATTCTCAGAGTTCCCAACAACAACTGAGAGGACAACTACTCATGTGACAACCACTGAGGCACCAACAACAACTGCCCCCCCTACAACCACTGAGGAAGTCACTGCAACAGTCGTGACCACTACACCTGAAGCAACCACAACCGAGACAACAGTAATCCAGACAACTACTGGTACAAATCTATTTAGAAGTTGATCATTGCCTTATGCAGCAACTTTGAATGTAGGCCTGATACCCTAACAGTGCAATTAATATTTCAGTGTTTGAACATGAACCATTGATGACCATTATTTGGGCACACAGGAAGTTAGACCTGTTAGATGGAAAAATTAGTCTTTTCACATACACATGAATTAAGTGTATTGATTCCCTGACAATCTCATGTTTGTTATCATTTTAGAATGCATTAGTTTTGAGAGGCACAAACTTTGGCTGTGTAGCAAGACTACTTTTAAAACTTCTTAAAATTTACCTCGTTGAAATACGCCCTTCATTACGTTTTGGATGTGTAATAGCTGTGAAGAGGATACTATAGGGACATCATAAGGTACCAGTATAACTATGCAATTATTGCAGAACTTTTAGCAAACTTTAATCATTACCCCAGCTCATCAGGCTCACAACAACTGAACATTCCTGAAACCAACTCAGCCCCTTGGGGAGTATACAAGCCTTATGCTCTCATCTCAGCTGCAAATGACTGTTAACACACCAACCAGCTTGACCCTCACAGATACCCATTTACTCCTGGGTGGAGAGAAGCATTTTGGGGTAAAGTGGGCTTCAGTATGTAACCACATGCTAGGATTCGAACCCCCAGCCATAGGATCTGAAGCTACAAAGCCTAACCCACATCACCTTCACCTACCAGTGGTGCAACACCGTCACCAAAGGTGGTTTGTGCACAAAAGGGCAAATGCCACTTTCATCAACAACAGCCAAGTACTGTAAAAGTATATATGTTTTGAATTTCTCACAAATTTCCTGTCTGCTGTTACTCTCCACCCTAGTCCCACTAACCACGACACCAGAGGAATGCGCAGACAATCTGGACAGTTACGGTCCAGTAGATGTCAAAAGAGTGACTTCGGAGAACCTGGATGTCCCTCGTCCTCCTGAATACTGGTGGAACCCGACCAACCCACCAACAGATGAATCCAACCCCTACGACGGTTCCTTCCTGTCCGCTGAATTCACTCCAGTTGCCCAGGTGACCTCCCTTGTGGTAGTCAGCAAGGACGACACAGTTCAAGAGATCAAAATTGCCATACTGGTCTCTCATAAGCCAACCGGTTCACTGACCCCTCTCAGAAATGGGGAGCAAGCACTGTTTGTCAGTAGCCCAGGAAGTAAAATTCATCTGCCTCCTGATTTGCTGTATGTCTCAACTATGGTAGTCTTCATTGTTAATCCAAGCTCGTCCGCTGGCTTCCAAGTGGTTTTCAACGGCTGTGAAGCTGTTGGTAGGTTTCACGTTTAATTTCTCTTCCGACTCTCGCTCATGAGGGCACTTTGTAGTGTTTAAAAAAAGGATAGAATGTTACCTTTATAGAGAACACCAAAAGATATGATGAGCAAGTTTATCAAGCAGATTTTTCTCGTCCTCATGTTACACCATACATCACTTCAGAACATACTGAGGTTCAACATAATTTGAAGTATCATTTCTAGTGTTTGTGAACATTACAACAAATGCTATTGACATGGACAGTTCCAACAACGCCACCAGTTACCACAACAAGGGCAACCACAACTGTTGTAACGACGATACCAACAACTCCCACACCGCCCACAACTGTGAGAACCACATCAGTTGTCACTACCACTCCCACCACAACGACCACGGAGGAGACAACCACTGTTGTAACCACAACAGAGGAAACTACTACAGGTAAAGAAACTACCACAAATAAAGTTTCCTTCTGGTGGGAATGATGTCATAATGTGTAGAACCAGGTTCAAAGAGTCAACATTCTGTGTATATCTTTTTGTCAATATTAAAAGTTGCTTGTTGGAAGTTTGCACGAAAAGGTTCTTATGTTGCTGTCAATATGACACTGGCCAAGAAGACTGTAGTCAAATTTAAGTACAATGACCCCCCCTCAAAAAAAAACTAGTGCAAATAAAATAGTTTTGAAAAGCTTGTGTTATTTTCGGAAGCTCAGAATAAGTAACATTTCATAAATATGACAGCCGTAAGGACCTTGTGGAATTTAAGTGTTGATATGTAACTTTGTCTCTTGGCTTTTTTCACAAAACATTTTTTTTTTACATACTCTGAAAAAAAAAGGTCATGGCAACCCAAAGTTCATGTTAACAAAACTTATTGTTTCTAATATTCCGTCTTACTGAAAACTGGAAGAGACAAATTGAACTTTTGCATTGCTATCAAATGTTGTATTTAGTGTTTACAACATATAATTTGTGGATGTAATCATGTTTACATGAACAGAAGCACCAACAACAACTGAGAGGACCACCACTCGAGTGACAACCACTGAGGCTCCCACAACCACGGCTCCACCAACAACCACCCAAGAAATCACCACAACACTTGTGACCACTACACCGGTGGCAACCACCATGGAGACAACCACCGTCCAAACAACAACCGGTATTAATTTTCAGTGAACCTTGAATTCTCTTTGAATAAAATTGCTACTTGTGTAAGCACTGCGCGACAAAAGTATTAAACTTGGAATTTATTTGGGTGCCACAGGTGGTTAGTGCACAAAGGGACTCACCTTTCACCTTTGTGGTCCAAGGTTTGATTCCTCACACGGTTCATATGTGAGTAGAGTTGTTCGTTTGGTTCCCTCATGTGCCATTAAGATTTTTCTCTAGGTTCTCTGGTTTTCCCTCATCAGCATAAATCAACACCTACAATTTCTTGCTTTGCTCCCTTGGCAAATGTAAGTCATTTAAGGGCTGCCAAGGCAACTTTGTATGGCTTTGGCTTGACCGCATCGTAGTTAAATAGCTACATTGTACAGCATATTTGAATAGAATTTGCATTTTGTAAATAACTAAATTATAATTATAATTGAACACCCTTTGAAGGCCCTATCTTTAAATCATTACAGGTCCTGTTCATGGCCTTTGCAAGGAGAAAGGGCCTATCCCAAAAATTGGAAAAATGAAAAAAAAGGGAAAAAAGAAACACAAAAGAATTTGGAAAAGGGGGAAGGGGTATGAAACGCATCAATTTGCTGCAAAACACTTTGGCATTGACCCCATGCATTATTAATGGTTTGTTTGCTGCTGATGAATGCTTCACCCCTCCCCCAAAGAAATTCCTTGCGACACCCATTGTCTTGTTCTGTAATGATTCATAATGTATGAAATAAGCACTGGAAGCTTTGTAGTGAATTTCTAGTGTTTCTGTGATGAGGATCAGATAGCTCTTGGAGAAGGCTCATTTTAAAAGTGCAGCTACAACTTTAAAGAAATGTCACAAAATGATGACCCTAACAATAAAACTCATCACCTATTTCTCACTTAATACCCAATAGAGCTGTAATATGCCTTCTTGTGAACTTTCATAAGCCTGTGGATGTGTACATTGCGTGGTCTGTTTTTTTTGTTTTGATTTGTGGCTATATTTCCTTGACCTATCACAGCACCGTCTACTACAACCCCCGAGGAATGTTCAGAAAATCTTGACGATTACCAGCCAGTGGATGTCCAACGGAAAACATCAGATGGCTCACAAGTACAGCCAACATACTGGTGGACCCCCACCAATCCACCCAGGGATCCGTC